CTCAGTTTGGCAATTTCAGTAGATTTCAGTATCTTAGTCTGATACACTACTGCTGTCTGCTAAGGAGAGAGTGATGAATGTATGTAGACTGAAGAAAGATTTACATCCACATACCAATTTGTTTAAACCATTGTTAACAACTAGAGACAAAATCAGCAGCTGAGGATCAGCTTCATCAATACTAGGAGATTGGTGGAAATTCCTTCCTTGAGATAGCAAAACCAGGAAACCATGCAGTTAAACCAGTTTAATAATATTGTTACTCAGATAAAATGCTTTTTTCTCCCTACCAAGTTATTCCAAAACAACTGCTTATGTATGTATGTGTGTGTATATGTACATATTCTGACCTACTTCTTATTAAATTGTATTAAAAAAAAAAATTAATTATGCATTTGCATCAGCAACAACATTTTACAGTCAAATGCTGGATGACGGAAAGAGCTAGCTTACTTTGTCTCAAATTCCATGCCATGAATCAGTGAATTAATTTACCAGTGGATGTGGAACACAGTGTCATGAATCTTGTTTTATAGGCAGCCATCAGTGGTGTGCAGTGAAATTCTTCTAATGAGCAAGTCCATCAGACATGCAAATTCCTCTGAAATGTGGTCATTACAGAAAGTAGAATGAGAAGTCCCAGTCCCAATGCTTGAAGACAATACCTGCCACTTTTGAATTAAATGATTTTGTTGTTGTTGTGTGTTTTCAGAACACTTCATGACCTATTATAAAAAAGACTTTTATTCATGTCAGTAATTGTGATGCTCAGTAAAATAACTTGCTTGAAAAACAGCTGCAGAATTTGAACCTGCAGAAATGATTTCAGCAGAGATTCCTAAGCAATCCACCATTCTTACTGAGAATCTTAGACTTTGGTAGTTAGAAATAATGAAAAACTACAAGGTATTTGTAAATCTTTTCTATCATTTAGTATATATCTACCTGCAGTAAGAGCATCATCCTCAGACTTGTTTCAGCAGAGTCTGAAGCCAGACAAAGGCTTACACCGTGCAGCATACCTCAAGAGAAGTCCCGAAGGGAGTGGATAGCAGAAGTCAGTCATTTGGCAAAGGCAGAGGAGTTACTGGTGCAACAGTGTGAAAAAGAATAGAAAGGTAGAACACATGAAAATCTATTTTCTGTTCATCTTCTAAGTATGAACTAAAACAGGAGCTATCCAACAGGAGATTGTTGTAGGACAGTACACTGAAATCCTAAAAATAAAACCTCTCCACCCTGTTGTTTTTTTTTTAAATTTAAAAAAATATATATCAATTGTAATAGTATTTGCCAAACAGAGCACATGCTAAAGGTGAACATTTGGTCAACATGTCAATACTGAAGGCTGACTTGCTTAGGGCAGCAACTGTGCTTAAAACAGAAATTCTCTCTGAGACAAAGATAAGTACTTTAAAAATTGGTTTAGATGGACATTATTCACGTGTGTTTGTTAAACTCGAAGACCACATGGAACTAGAAAAAGTACTTTTTTCTTGTCAAAAGTTGAGATGATCTGACATGAGAGTGCTTGGGCATGAAGCAGCCTTGCAGGGTTTGGCCCCCAGCAAACAGCTTCAGAAAAAGTAATGAATGCCAAGGGACTGTGAGGGACAGACGAGACTCCAGGATACTGTGATGACTTCACTACTGTGTCCTCACTGACTGAAATTGATTAAAATGCTGTAAAGATTCTGCATGTGTTTTGCACTTCAACTGTCATCATTAGGCTTTGAAAAACCTAGGTACAATGGTTCCAATTATTGGACTCAGAGAACCACCAAAGCTGAAGATTGGAATGCATAACTCTGTGTACATACCATTAGTACCATTCATGCTTCTGTGCCTTATTGATGAACACGTTTCTGGTTCCCAAAAGCTTGGTGCCATTGTTAGATACAGAGCTGCAAGCATCATGCTTTATTTCCTAAGCCTGAGTTCCGTACCCGTTATTGCTCCTTATGGCAATTTTGGAGATGTGCTTTATTTAAATAAGCTTTTCTTCATTGAAATAACTGTAACAGATGTTTTATGTTCTATTTGTTTTGCTCTGTGGTAACGCTGTGGAGAGAGATTGAATTAGCTCCCCGCACAGAATATTTCTAGGGTGGAACTAAAGAAGGCATAGCATATGTCCAAGGGACAGTCAAGCATGTGTTCAAGGGGCAGATAGATTGGCAGTGCTGCATGTGCTCATTCTTTACTTGGTTTCATTGCTTTCAATAATAAGTGTGCATCATGTCACCAAAATCTGCAGGGCATCTATGTATATTTAAGCCTTGCATTGGTGATAATGGAACTCAATTAATAGTAAAGCTTATGAATAACTTATCTTTGTTCTCCTGAACCTTACTTCCCTATATTCCCCTAATATTCATACATTTTTATGTATCAATAATCTTTATGTACTGTACAGACTAATATACATCATAGTTAAAAGTGTTATCGAAGAAGGGTCATGTCATGTCTTTCTCTTCTTAATGCTAGGCAAGGTTAGAATGAAATTCTGAGGCCTTTATTAAAGCATAGTAATCGTTTATTTGACAAAATGTAAAAAATTTTAAAAAATAATCTTGTTAACAATTCCTTGAAGCTAGGTCATGGAAACTTCATTACATTGCATACATTTGGATAATCAAGGCTGCCCAGCAACATTTCTTCAAAAGAAAACAAACAAACAAACAAACCAGTATTAAAAAGAGATTTTCTAAGCTTTTTGAATACTGAGAAAATAAATCCACTGTACAGTCTCAGTAGTGAAATCTGTCATGATTTTAGCCTTGCTTGTCATCATTAACAGAACGATAGATCCACCCACGAGTCACCAGCTCCATGACAAACCATGTTATATCAGAATATAAACTTTTCTCATTTAAGTGTATAAAGAAGTCGAAGAAAATGTCACTGTTCCCAGACTGAAGTCTTCTGACAGCACAAAGTTAATGACACCACAACAATCTTTCTCAACAGATGACTTTAGCTGTAACTTTGATTTGAGAAACATGCTTTGAACACAGTTTATTCTCCAAAGCATTAGTCATGAAAAGACATCTTTTCTCTGCTTTCCAAGTCTGGTTAGTTTGGTTGTTTCTCCATTTGAGAGCTAAACCATTTTGAACTGAACTAATGAGGCTGAGCACATTTAAGCATGAGCGGCGATATCTTTCACTCCATAATAGTGTAGGATTTCCTATGTGTATACAGCACATTTTTGTGTGAAGTATCTTGTGTCCCACGCACTGAGTGCTTTTAGTTTGAACTGCTTTTAGCAGAACTGAACGCTGCTTAGGTTGAATTATTTCAGCCTAGAATAAGTTCTAATGAAGGGCTTGGTTTTTCAAGGACCCAAGACAGTAAAATGAAGGCTCACACAAGCAAACTCAAAGCTGTCAGAAGGCTGACATTAAAGGACTGATGATGCCAGAAAACAGGAGACAGAGGATGGGCTGTGTTGGGATAATCTGGAAAGTGCTCACCAGTAACCAATATTAAAAAAAATTATGTTTAAAGAACATAAAAGCAAACAGAGTTTAAGCCTCCTAGAAAAACTAGATTGAATGTTTCCACTGATAGTTCAGGCAGGTAAAGCATGGGTTGACAGCTAGGGAAGTGACAGGTCTGAAATGGTAAGCACTTCCATTCCTACTGCTTTGAGTGCTCCCATTCTGCATGTAGCCTTAGCTGCCTGAGAGGAGGACTGTGTTTCTGGCATATCTGAGTCCCCTCAAACTGTAACATGCTTATTCCTAGGACCCCGAGTTTCCCTTTTGCAGTAGAGGAGATAAAGCACAGAGAGATTAAACAGAGTTTGTGTGAGGTGGTTCTGGAAGTCTGTGGTAAGGGCTGGATGTGCCAATTGGATGTACCTTTCTGACCATCTGTCCTTTTTCCAAGTCATGACCAGGCCTATTTGTCATTTGTTGTCAAAGAAATAACTGCCAGTATCTATACCTGCTCAGTTATCATTAGCACCAGCTGTTGTTGCTTTTTCAAATCAACATAAAGAGTGTTCAGATCCCTACTGTGTGCTTCCATGGTTTTTGAACTGTGCTAAGAGGATCCCCATGGTGTGCTTTCCTTGTTTCTTAGCATTGCTATGAATCCTTGACAATCTGCGTTTCTTCTCTGTGGGGCCATTTAGAGAGCCAATGCCACTCTCCCATTGCATCCGTATCTGCTTCTCCTTCTGATGCATATAAAGAGAAGTGCCTCTGTTTTTCACATCATTCACTCATGCCAGCTCTTCATCAATCATTGTATTTATGCTCATTCAATATTAAGTGGATGATAAAGGGACAGTATAACACAAAAAAAGCATAGCACCAGGAAAACATTCATCTGTGAGTTGGTAGACTGGGTGGTCATGTGTGGAAAATCGAAGGAAGTATCCCAGTGGAGTGCCTGCCCGATGAGGTGTAGTTGCTTGGTGAGGGGCTGATTCTTCAAGCACTGGTGTGCCACGAACACACTAATATCTTCATTTTCTGTAATGAGGACTTACAGTATCAGATTCCTGGTGAGAAAGGTTTCCTTCTGCTAACTGAAAAGGTGCCCCACCCCTCACTCTTCGTCTTGTAGGGGCAGTTGTAGGTGATGGTTGAGGCCAAACCCTAAATGACACTGTGCTGCAGACCTGTAATTCACATTACCAGTATAGGTGCACAGATTTAAAAGTAAGCGTGTGTGCTGGTATTAGAAGGATCCGTGTCTGAACTGATACACTGTGTGTGTGTTCGTGTGTGTGCTGTATAACTTTCTCTCAGTGCTACTGTAATTATCTGCTTCCATCAGTGTTTTCTTTCAGCTGAAATAACAAGGCTGAAAAATCCTCAGTGTATTATGGGAATGCTGACAGCTACAGTCAGTTGTTAATAATTTAGAGATGTGATTTACCCCCAGTTGATTTGTACCCTTAAAACACTGTATATATAGTTTACCACAACTTTAAATGTCTGTCTTTTGTTCTTCTTCTATGTGTTATTTCCTGTTGAATCGGGAAGGTGGAAAAGATGGCCAGCCTCTGCAACATACATGTCCGCACAGGTTGCTTCTGTAACACAGGAGCCTGCCAGATGCATTTGGGTATAAGCGATGAGGACATCCAAAAGAACCTGCAGGTTAGTTTCTGAATGAGATTATGTGATACATTGCCCTTGGAAAACTTACAAATTCAGTGACCCAGGCTATCAGTTCTGAATTTCACAAAGGATGGGAGATATGAGGGCGAGAGAGGAAAATCTGGCCCTAAACCATAAAGAAAATATTAGTAAATAGATAGATAGTTAAAGAATAAAGTAGTTTATCATATGTTGTGCTTTTGAGTCTCTGCAACTTTTAGAATTAAGGTGAGTTTGATTTGCTTTCTCTGATCTTTCAACTCAATTACCATGCTAAAGAAAAAAATGAACTTAAGTTCATTGAAACGAGGTGTTGAAACAAAACCATTTTATGGACCCAAAGCAATATACGTTGCTTTTATTTCATTCAAAAATACGAAGCACTGTGTTGCATCACTTAGGTCAGTATCATGTAAATATTACTGAACATTTTCATCAGGATAAGCCCAATGAAGAACGCATACTTACAGGGATTTTTCATCTTCCAGAAGTGGTATGATGAGGTAGTGCAGTCAAGCAGTTCTTTTGAGACATTCTCATCAGCAAAAGACCTAAATGAGTTATTGACTATATTACTGTGCAAAGGAAGAGAGCTTTTATTCACATTGTTTGCATATATGCTTTGTTTTTGCCTTTTTTTTTTCTCCCAGAAAGAAAGTGGGACTTATGTCCATAGAACATAACATTTCCTGCTTGAAAAAGCCTTCACTATTCACACATCCATTTTTATTTAACAGAAATGCATAAATAAATGAAATTATGGGGAAAAAGAACAACCTTCTGTGAAACTTAGAGCTAAATGTCATGTCCACTGTTGAGCTAATGTTAGGTGGGTGATCAAAGGGAGTTTCTAGCTTATCTCGCTGGAGGTGAGTGGCACTCACCTGTTTAACCGAAGGAGAAACTTCTGCTCCAACAAAGAGTTTTGCAGAGTGCACACTTTATGAAAGACATATCAGATAGGAGGATATACAGACATCATTGTTAATGGTATTTGAGGGATTTTTGAGCTTTACCATTAGTTAAAACTTGTATTTTTCAAAGGAATTAATGTTAGGGGAAGAGTTCTTCCATATGTACTGAAAGCAACAAGTTGACTGGATCAGCAAGACAGATTTATTGCAGATCACCATGGTGAGGGATAGATGAGAGGACAGTGAGGCTCTCTGAGACCTTGTTGACTGGCAGAGTTCAGAGGATTGTGATCAGCCGTGCAGAGATCAGTTGGAGACCTGTAACTAGCAGTATTTACCAGGCATCCCAGGCATTGATACTGGGCCCAGTCTTGCCAACATCTTTATCATTGACCTGGATGAAGGGATAGGATCCACCCTTAGCAATTTTGCTGATGATACAAAGCTGGGAGGAGTGACTGACACACCAGATGGCTGTGCTGCCATTCAGTGAGACCTGGACAAGCTGGAGAGTTGGGCAGAGAAGAACCTGATGAAGTTAAACTAAATGACTCAGTGTAGAGTCATGCACCTGGGGAGGAATAACCACATATACCAGTACAGGTTAAGGGCTGACCTGCTGGAGAGATCTGCAAAGAAGGATCTTGGTAACCTGGTAGACAGCAGGCTGATGATGAGCCAGCAATGTGCCCTCGGGGCCTAAAAGGCTAATGGTATCCTGGGGTGTGTTAAAAAGAATGGGGCCAGCAGGTTGAGGGAGGTGATTCTCCCCTTCTATTCTGCACTGGTGAGACCACATCTGGAATACTGTGTCTAGTTCTGGGCTCCCCAGTTCAAGAAAGACTAGGAACTTCTAGGAAGTGTCAAGCTGAGGAGTACAAAGATAGTTACGGGCCTGGAGCATCTCCCTTGCAAGGAAAGGCTAAGAGACTGGAGAATATTCAGTCTGGAGAAGAAAAGCCTGAGAGGGAATCTTATCAATGCTTGTGAATATCTAAAGGGTAGGAATCAAAGTGAATGGGGCCAGACTCTTTTCAGTGTTCCTCAGCAACAGGACGTGAGACAAGGGACACAAATGGGAACACAGGAAATTTGATACAAATCTAAGAATAAACTTTTTTTCTTTCTGGGTGACACAGCACGGGAACAACCTGCACAGAAAGGTTGTGGAGTCTCTGGAGATATTCAAAACCCCTCTGGATGCTTTCCTGTGCAACCTTCTCTAGGAACCTGGTTTAGCAGAGGGTTGGACCAGATGGTCTTTCCAACCTCTACAATTCAGTGAATATGCCACTGATTATATAAAATGGAACTGTTCTGACAGTGGATATAAACAAAACTCCCACAGAAACCAGCAGGCTAGTGATTTGGTCAGCTAACTGAATGTAATATCCCAGTTTAAATCTCAGTGAATTATGCAGATGAGACTGGAATTTATCTGGGGACTGATCTTGCTAACAGGCTATTCTGGCACATGTAAACTTTTTCTTGACATAAGTTTTTGTGAAGATCCTCTTGCTTTGGGGTAGAATAGGGCAAACATTACAAAACAATATTTTTCCCTGCTCGAGTGGCTAATTAGACATTTGGGAATTTTTCTCCTTTTTCTGCATGTATTCATGGGTTAACTGTGTATTTCTGAAAACAGTATTTCAGGTTAGAATTAACAGACTTTTGAATAACTATGTACAGTAAGGGGGAAGTAATGCAGTCTGTCATAATAACTCTGCTTTTCTTTCTATTTTAAACTAGGCTGGCCATGTCTGTGGAGATGATATTGACTTAATTGATGGACGTCCCACTGGTTCTGTGAGAATATCCTTTGGTTACATGTCTTCTTTTGAAGATGCACAGGCATTTTTGAAATTCATCATAGCCACAAGGTTCTCTAAGTCAGACACTGAGATTCCCTTTCAATCCTCTGCTACGCAGCTGACAACAGAACCTGCCCCAGATGACCACTCTTACTTTAACAGCGTCAATAAATTGTCTCCAAGAACGCATATTGCAGATAGAGAACATAGGAATCATCCATCTGGAACAGAGAGGACTGTCGGTTGGCAGTCACCGGAGTCTCAGTCGGAAAGCATAAGGGAAGCTCTTTCTGAGGTTGCTGTGCCAAAGATTAAAAGGGGTGGCGAGCCCATTACTGTCATCAGTATTTACCTGTATCCAATCAAATCTTGCTCTGCATTTGAGGTATGTGCTTTAAATTATACTTATTTTATCCCCAACTATCAAATGTGTCAACCAGGAACAACATGTGCATTAGATACTAGGAAACAGCATGGGGTGCTCACTTTTCCATTTCTCCAATCTCTAGGATTGAGCCCTGCCTGCTAAGGCACTCTAAAGGATTTTCAATTAGACTGAAGCTACAAGATGCAAATGTGTCTTTGCTCCTCTATCGCCCATCACAGAAAAATCAGCGCATAATATGCAGTTTTGGGGAAAAAAAAAAAAAAAGTTGGCTTTGCAAAATTTGACTAAAATATAATTAAATAATTAGTATGCTTTCACTGAATGACATGTGATGGATTTGTAGGCATTGATGGGTAGGCAGCAATTTAGAAATAACTTGATTAACATGTTATAATTGAGAGGAGGTTGATTTACATTACAAAGAAATGTTATCATTAAAAATACATTTGCAACAGAAATATGACATTTAAGTGTTGCTGCACTATTTGAAAGTTCACTCTTTGAAGATTTTAATTGCTTTTTTGCCAAGTTAATAATATCATCACCTTAGCTGTGACTTTTTTTTAAAATAATGCATGATGAAATAGGTGTATGGCCCACACATGACCTAGAATGTGACTCTGCTTAGTACCATACTGAGAACTGATTTAATGAATGTCAATAATGGTATAACTTTCCCTGTGAAAACTTGCTGGTGTAGGTCACTGTCTCACATATGAATGAAAATTGGGGTCAAATCCAGTGACAAATCACCTGCATTTAAAATATGGATTCTCAGCTGTTTTCATCTTTTTTCTTTTTTTTTTCTTTTTTCCTTAATGCAAAAAAATGAAAAAGGGAGGAATTGAAGCAATGTCTTTGAAAGATTAACAAAATATCTGCATTTCTAAACTTGGTTTGCTTATGATGTTTTTAATTCAGAGGCACAGTCTTGAGCATTAAATGAGACCTGAACAAATAATTTTCCACCCTTTATTAACCTTCCACTAAATCAAACCCTTTAAAAATCAAAGTAATCATGTGAGAATGTTTTAACCTTTGTTTAAATGTTGCAGTTATTACAGCTATATTGCAGAAGCCCACTACAGAAACACTGAAATATGTCTTAGCAGTATTTGGGACCGTTTGGTGTCAAATTCTATTTTTAACATGCAGGCTGGTGTTACAGGATACATACCAGAACACTCAGAGCCAGGAAGACTTTGAAGTAATTGTGCCCAGAAGCAGATAAACCACACCTCAGTGTGAAAGACAGCTTTTGTTTTCTCAAACTGAGCCAGTTTTCCTCTCTTCAAGCTCTGTGGAGGGAAACTTCTCTAGGTAATAAATTAATAAAAAGCTGGAACACCCTGACAGACAGAATTGCAGTTTTAATGGAGGAGGAAAATCCCCATGCATAATTCTTGTGCCAGGTATGTGTTAATGGGCCCAGCATGAAAGCAGAGTTCATCTCACCTGACCTTATCCCTCTAAAGTTAGATATTATTCGGTAAGCAGGAAGAGATGGATACCTGCTAAATCATCTTATCATAAAATAGGCATCTGCAGTAGGAAAAATGAATTGTCCCTAGATATTTCTGTCTCTTTCCATTGACTGCACGAGGTATCAACGGCTACGTGGATTGGATAGGCAGCAGCTAACGCTAGGCTTAGTTAGTTTAGATTAAAAGTGCAAATTTAAAATTTGGAACTGTATGAGGTTTAGGTTTTCATGCCTAGAAATATTTTTGAAGTCTCTGATTTGATATTTTTTGGTAATGAAGCATCAGCTGTGTTAGAGCCCAATAGCTAAGCACTGTCAGAGCCTGTACTGCCAAAGGGTAATACCTAATGAAATGTATGCTTGCTTTAGTATATAATATTGAAAGGGACTGGAACTTCACTGTAGGCAGCATACAGCTCTCCTCATCGCCTTCTCAAAGAACATGTTTTGTACATTTCCATTTAATCCATAGAAGATAACAATAGAAGTTGAATTAATAGATTTAATTAAAAATGGATTTCAGTGCATGAGGAGAACAGGCCAGGAAGTGAAGCCAAAAGTATATTGGAACATTATATGATTTTCAATATTGAAGTAAGCCAGAAAGGAAAATGTGTTTGCTTATGCGATCATCTTCCTGTCTACCAGGTGTTCTTCATATTTTTGTTACCAAAAGTCAGAGTGGCACTTCTAGGCACTATCTGACATATATTTATAGACAGATTGAAAGATCTGCCAACCTGATTTTCTGCATGTAAAAGAGATAAATATGGCAGCTCACAGCCCACCACTTGTAATGAGCATTAAAACTCAAAGGCAGTTGATCCCATTGTCACCCAGACAGTGGCTTAGTTTCTTTCCAATGCTGAAGAGTAAAATAGATAGCCAGTGCTGCCAGAACCCAGACCACCAAATGCAGAGTGCATCATCCTCCATAATACTCTGCACACCATTACTACAACTTCAGCCTACGTCACCTTGGAAGGGGAAAATAACCAATCCACACACACTGGAATTTTAAGCCAAGCATGCTAGAGACGCCGTACCGCAATTAAATGGGCCCAAGTCCTGAAAATCATTTTGCCTTCTAAAATAGTAATTATCATAAGATCTCTAGGCGTTATCATGAAAAGGCTGATTCCAGTAGAAGATTATTCTTTTGCCATTCTCTTTGTCATGCAGACTTCACACTTTACTGTCCCTTCGCTTTACTAACTCCATAAACGTCTGAAGTAATAATGTAGCTTGTAGTTCCCATGGTCTTCAGATAGAAGCCAATAATTGAAATTCAATTTCATAATATAAATTTAAAATAGCTTTAAATGTTTTGCAGTTGTTGGAAAGTTAGAAAAATATTTCCTGTTAAAATTTGATGCCTATATTTGTCAGTTACATAGTAGCTCCAAACCAGCTGATGTGAAAAAGTGGCTTAGGTATTAGGCTGCAATAAAATCACTCATCTTGTACTTGGATACTTGAGATCGGAATCTCAGATTCATAAGTTCAAGTTGCAGTCTTCCAGTTGATGTGAAGGTCAGACCTTCAGCATGCCTTGTAAATGGGCTTTATTGGGAAGTACACGATCAGATTTGTTTGCCTAAAATAAAATGGATAGTGGAAGATTCCACCTATGTGTGCAAGACCTCATGCATCGCCCAGTGAAGCCTGTCCCTCAACTTGTAGTTTGCAGTATAGATGACTTAATTAGTAACAGAAGGACAAATTCAAGTATATGAATGTGGGCTCACACCTGTTTAATCTCCTCTTTTAAGTCACATCATCTCCTCTTTATCTAAACTATGAGCTAAAACTGTGTTTTAGTGTAGGAGGTGATTCGCCTCCAGTGAAAATGAGAGTCAGAGTACTTCGGCATCTGGCAGGATAAAACCTTGCATTAAGGTATTCAGCCTACTGCAGACTGGTTAGCTCCTACTGTGTGCATGTTTCATGAACTTTTCCTGGCCACAGGACTGTCTCTGTTCAGTTACGTTCCATGGATTTTGTACATATGGCTTAGGAACTAGAAGGCAGAATATTCTAGCTGAATGTCTTAAATGTGTATTCACTTTCCTACAATTATTTTATTAAATGGAGAGAAGTAGGAAAGAAGAGTAGCCTCTGTCCCTGACCACATTTTTCTTCTTTTCCAACATAAAAACATATTTTAAACATACATTTTTAAACATGAACATCTCTCATGTCAATGAATCTTGCATAATTACGTAGTGCAATGTGCCCAGTAAAAAGGTTAGGACTTTAAACATTAATAACTTTATTATTCTTGCAGTAGATTTCAGAAGATAAAAATTGCATCTCAACACAGAAAACAAATTAGCTTTTAATCAGAAATACAATGCAAGTTCTTAGTAATCAGTAGATAAATTATATGTAAGACCACTAGCATTTTTAAACTTGCATAATTTAAAAGCTGTTCAGTGCTTTCTTTAATGTGCCTGAAAATTGTGTTAGCTTTTGTGATGACGTTACAGTGGACTATGGAAAAATGCAGCCCAAAACGCTTTAGAGAAAATTCTGAACAAAACAAAAACATGTTTTTGGAATAAAAATATTACAAAAAGAAAAATTGCTAAAGAAGATAGGATAATGCAATGTACTGGTTGTGTTCTGTGCATTGAGCTTATAGGCATATTTGAATGTTGTATAATTAGCTCACCTGCCATGCTGGGAATGAAGTTGTGTGCATGCAGTAACCAGTGAAGGCATGATGTCCGTGCTTCTCTCTGTCCTTCACCTTCTAATTTGTCTCAGAAGAAGAGATGGTCATGCAGTTTCAGGGAATTGATGTAATACAATATTTCTTATTATGATGTAAGTTAGCCTGTTTCATTTCACTCTGCAGTAGTAAGCTTCCCTGGCTGCTTTGCTTCACTCTTTTAGTTACCTAATTATAGGTATATAGCGCTGTTTGAGTGCCCTACCTTGCCTCGTGCTGCCTGTCCTCCAGGATGTGCATCTCTTGTGCAGGCTGTGTCTTATTAGCTGATTTTGGGCAGACATGTGGGACGTAATCCAAGGGAGCCAAATTGAACCACTCTTACTGTGCCTCTAACGATGTCCTTTATTTGAACTGCTCTACTTAAGTTGCTTGCAATCACTGAACAATCCCTTCAGCCTCTTTCAAATAATGGTGGAAGAGGGTCTGTGCAGATTGAAAGCCAAAGTACTGGAGAGAATAGCAATTCCACACTCATCTCCTGTGTCAATATTAGCAGCAAATCAGCTCTATTTCATGATCATCTGTGACTCCCTGTTCAAGGCAGAGTACACAGTTATTTTCTTGTTGCAACTTTAATTATTGGAGCAGACATGCAATACACTAAGTTGAACTGTAGAGGGAAAGTAGGGCACTTGACAGTTTGCTCAGGACATTCATGAGAGGCATGGGACTTACTACTGGGGACATTTGTGTATCATTCTTATTATGATAGCAAACAACTAGAGGAACCAGAGGAAAAATGGGCTCAAGACCTTCAGCTGTGTGCTGCATCTCAGAGTGGAGCCTGAAGCTGGCCCAAAGTTGAAGCAAAACAATTGAATGTTACAGTTGGGTGCTAGGAATCACATTTTGGGGTTCTTCCTATAATTTTCTGCTGTTTTAGTTTATTAACTATATTATGTCTTGCAAATCCCTTCATGATCTGTATATCCATGACAGGATGTGTTACTGATAAGTGATCTTCTGTTTTGGAAAGGAGATTTGTTAGCAGGAAATTCTTGCAGCTCTCAGATGATCACCAGCTGTTCAAAATGTATTTTGTAATCTAATTACAGGATAACCAAACAATACAGGCATCTCCAAAGGATAATTTACAGCAAGCATAAAAAGCTGTACTTCAGCTGATATTGCAGTGTTTGAGCTGTGATTCTTCTCCTAAAAAAAAAAAAAGGCAAAGGTTCAGATCTTTTAGGTGCTGATATAGTTCATAAAATCACAGAATGGCCTGGGATGAAAAGGACCACAATGACCATCTTGTTTCAACCCCCCTGCTAAGTGCAGGGTCACCAACCAGCAGACCAGGCTGCCCAGAGCCACATTCAGCCTGGACTTAAATGCCTCCAAGGATGGGGCATCCACAGCCTCCTTGGGCAGCCTGTTCCAGTGTGTCACCACCCTCTGAGTGAAAAATAGTTGCTGGGACAATGCTGTTTCAGATGGCATGCCAGATATAAAGATTTCATTTTTGACTGAGTTTTTATCCAGACTTACTTCAAAAACTGCCAAAGAGTGTTATAAATCATGTTGATAAAATACATTTTTTTAATTTTTCCATGTATGTTCTGTATTTCATGCAGTTGATAACTCATATGGTTGATAGTGGGAGGCTAGTTCAGCTTCAGTGCTCTCAGTTTCCCGTTTCAGCTCATCTTGAGTGCCTGCCCTCAGCTCTCTCTAGCCATGCTCTTGATGGCAGTCTGTTGCTGAGAACTTTCCAAAACCTGGAAAAGTTTGTAAGATTGGGGTGCTTTGGCTTCTATGGTGTTTTGGAAAGAGCACATGCTAAACAAAATTGCGACTTTTAATTAATATAACCAGTGCTTCAAGCCATGCTTTCTTCAGAGCATCAGAATCTCTCAGCATTTTTTTGCTAAAGCTGGTTTTGTGTGGAAAGTGCTAAGCTTCTCTACAAGAATTCAACACAGTTCATCTGTAGTTAACTTTTCTCCATATTCAACTGTGACTAGAAAGCATATGTCAGTGGAAACAATATGTTTAAATGCCTAGCTTTATGTTAAAATAATGGTATTAATATTTTAGCATTCTGAAGGAGAAAGCAGTTATTAATATCGCCCAAAGACATTACTAAAATTGCTCTCTTTTTTTTCATTTTGAGATTACCATCTGTGTAGCATCAGTAACAGATGTTCTTTTCACCAGAAAAATGTACATGAAAGCAAGGACAATATGCCTGTGTAGGCTATTGGAAAAAAAGAGCATTATAGAATCAGTGGAGGAACAGCTCACAGAGAAGATCATGTTTTGTTTCAGGAGGATTTGGAAAACTATTATGCTCTAGCTGAAACAGAAACTTCAGCAGCGAATATTTTCTCAGAAAATGGTTCCATTTAAAAAAAAAAAAAAAAAAATTGGAAGTTTATTCAGAGTTCTAAATTTCATGTTTTCCTTGCTTTCTGCTTCTTTTTTTCCTTATTTCATACAACTCACACGAAACCTCCATTCTTTGTGAATTAAAATTGTTAAGGGGAAGAGGTCCTAAAATATCTGAGTATAAAATTAAAAAGAGTTTTCAGAGTGTTTCATTGATTATTTACTGCATTCCTGCGGCTCTGTTAAATCGAAGGGTGTGATAATATGCAACAAATTACAGTAACTCCATTCATTTCTGTCAGCTTCTTGCAGTGAGAACTTGATCTTTGATTTAAAGTTCCTGTTATAAAGGCTGATGTCAGCTTGCAAAAGCTTTTTTGATTTCAAGGAATTTCATTATTGGTTTCTTTTCCCTATCTTTTCAGCACGAATATGTTAATACAACTAATATTTTCTAAACCTTTTCATCCCCTCCTGATGCTTTTTCAGGTTACAGAATGGCCGGTAGGAAATCAAGGTTTGCTGTATGACCGTAATTGGATGGTTGTAAATCAGAATGGAGTGTGCATAACTCAGAAGCAGGAGCCAAAGTTGTGTCTTATAAATCCGTCAATTAATCTGAAGCAAAAGATTATGGTCATTCAGGCAGAAGGTAATTGAACAATATCCTTTTTTCCCCTTTCTTACTGATGTTGCATGCAGAGACACCTGTGTGCATGCACAGAAATACTGATTGCTGTGTATGCATACCAGCTGAACAGACATCTTCTGCTATCAGCTGCAGGTAAAGAAGGCTGAGGTTGGAATAGCCCTGGGTAGTTTCCTAGCTTGTTGTTGGGATAGGTAGAGAGCAGATAGCAAATCCGTATGCGCAGTCGTGAAGTGAATGCTTCGGGAAGGAAACGTGATTTGATAAATGTGGAAATCCATTGACTAATCTGTCCCTCCACATCATGAAGGAGAGTTCACCAGCCTGAAGGGACTGTTACCGCTGTGAAGGTAAAGGAACAGGAGTCTAACATCAAACATCTAGGCCAAAACCCTTCCCATGCTTTGCTCTCCTCTTTCTTCCAGCAGCTATGGGACTAAAGGGGTAGAGTCTTCAGTGGGAATTAATATGAATTAAGATAAGAACCAGATAGTACTAAGCTCAGTTAAATGCTCTCACTAGCAGGCATGTTTGGGCTTCTTTTGACTCATCAAAACCCTCTTTATTATCTGCTGAAGGGAAAAAAAATGTGAAAACTTTATGGAAATCTTTATGGAGAGCCCCTTGCTACTTGGGGATGCAAATTATTTATTTTCCTAACAGTGCTATTAGCACTCAACAGTCAAACAGGTTTGTATTCCGCTGAAGTCATTATTAATGCCAAGCTTGCATGTGGCTGAATGGTGTTTATCATTTCCCTTGTGTCTTACATTTACTCATCCTGTATGTCTAAGCTGTTATTATTATATGTGTTCTCACTTTGCACAGCTAGAGAAAAACAAGGAAACTTATATTCAGATTTTTAACCCCTTGTTAGAACTCCATATGAGTGGTTCTGTAACTACAGCCTCCTTTCTGTTTGTACAGTACATTTGCTGTCCACTCCAATTGTCAGGCCAGCTAATTTCTTTTGTCATGTTTATCAAATGTACATTAGAGTATTTCTGCTATTTTTTTTAACACTTTTTGTGTGTTCTAGATCCCAAATACAATCTTGTTTTTATTTAGGGATTCCAATCCAGCTCTCAGGGGGCTCTCTGCCCCCCTCCAGGCACAAGCATTCCTTTCCCTCTGGACATTTCATTATTGGAAAAAATTGTTTACAGCTATTTTATTTTAATATGGTTTAGTATTCCCTACCCTCGCTGTCCAACAAAATAAATTTGTCAGTGTGATTCAGTGTGACAGTAAGTACTTCAATACCTTTTGCCAAATCCTTCCTGTGCTGAGACTGCTTCAGGTTCTTTCTTTAACCCCGTGTGTGAGCTGTCTAACAGCCAGCCTTGGATGAACAGGCAGATCAACTGTCTGACCAACCCAGTGGTGGATCCTGCTGTGACTGCTTGTGTTGCTGTTCTCATTGCTGTTCCTTACTGTGGTAGAGGGAGGGAGTTTTTAATTCTGAGAAACTGCATCTCTGGGTTTTGACAGTTATTTTGGTAGTCTGTGTGGTTGTTAGCAGGGATTTCCTGTTCTATTTGACGTGAAGGGTACAACAAACCCTCACTTTCACAAGACACAGTTTGAGAAAACTGATGTTAGTTTAAATCAGCTCCCAAATAGAAAGATAACTTTTTATATATTGATGTAGGGTTGCTTCCACTGAAACAATTAATGATGGAGCTCCCAGCAGCTCAGGGCAGGTGAGTTTATTTCCAGAAGTCATATTGCTAGAGTGAGAATAAAGGAGAATCTTTTTTCTCCTGCTCCGCCAAACACATAGGGGCACAAACAGCACTGGGCTGGTTCCTGAGACATAAAAACAGAATTTGCTTGAGAATACATTCCTGTAAAAGGCTAATTTCTCTCTTTACACGTTAGCTAACAATCAGCATTACTCTGGCAAGTTGTGACAGTTTGCCACCGCATGGAGAGAGAAATTTTAAGTGCTATGAAGGCCTTTTAAAACACTGGAGTAGAAAGATGCTTGCAAAACTGAACAACTAATTACGCTTTATGGAGTTTATTCTGCCTTCAAATAGTCATGTGTTGCTGCCAATAAAAATAATAGGAATTATACAAATACACTGCTGAAAGAATGTACATGAATAGTTTGTATTTCAGTCTATTGAAATAACAGACCTCTAATTTTTCTCATTCACTGAAATAGGAGCTATAAAGACAAGAATATTTTTTTATATATTAATACTGTGAGCACATCTGTGGATCTTATTATCAAGCAAATGACCATGGAGAATGAGCTTTTACAATTTAGTAACTGGCAATATTCTGCTTTTTTTTTTTTTTTTTTTTTTTTTTTGCCTCAAGATAGAATGAAATTGTAATTAACAATGTTTAACTGACCTAAAACTCTCTCTAAAATGTGTATTGTTCAATAAAAATGCAATTCACTTGTTTATAAAAGCAAGGCTTTTTAAAGCCCTGAGACTCTATTTTAAGAAATGTTGTGAGTATGCCTTGTTTAGAATTTTATTTTAAAAGATAGTAACAGATAAGGACACATACAGTGTTCTTTCAGGTGGCTTGGAGCTAGATGATCTGTAAGGCCCCTTCTAACCCAAGCTATTCTGTGATTCTATAATTGTATGAATCAAACTTTTCCAGAAGGAATGATGCTTATGTTTAATTATTTCAAAGTACATGAACATTTGTCCTGGTCCGTAAGATGATAATAATGTTTTCTTTTTTGGTAGTTGCAGGCAACTTCAATGCATGTATGTAGGTTGTTCAAAAGTAATGCCTCCTGTTCAGTTCCATGGAAACTGCAGCAGGTACAAAGAGCACGATAACACTATTTGCAAGAGCAAATTCTTAGCTACAAAACACTGTTTTTCAACATAGTCACCACCATTAGCTATGCATTTTTGCCAGTGATGAACAAGAGCCTGCCTGACACACTTGTAAAAAGTTGCATTGCCATCCAGAATGTGGCTTGTCTTTCACTGTGCTCACATTCACTTGTTGATGGCCTCCATCAACATTCAACAAGCGTCAGGGAATGTTGTGGGTGCCATTCTTTGCAAATGGAGGAATTCAGTGACACATTTATGCTTCATACACCTTTCCATCTCAGACACCATTTTGTCAGAGTGCCCCACTGCTGCCATCTGTTGCAAAGCAACAAAATGCAGTGGAATACTGGTGGGAACATTCAGTCTCTACTGCCATATCACCAACTTTCACCTATGATATATCGTGGGCCAACATCATAAAATAGGAGGCATTACTTTCAGAGCAGACCTTGTATTGCTTTAATGTTTTATTTTTCTAAATGAACCTAAATTTTCCTCCTTTGTCTTTGCTTCTGAGGTATCCCAACGTTGCTAGCTAAGTAGAGAATGAGATTCTCTCTGTACTGAAAACTTGCAGGGACTGGAGCTGCTAGCTGGGCTACAGAAAATCTGAACTACATTTCATTCCTCTCCTTGCAATAAAAAAAAATGATTTCACCATGTCAAAGGGCTAATAGAGCTTAATTTTTGTTTGTAGGACAAATATATAAGCGGAAAGTAAAGAGTGAATTCATGACATGCCGGTATAAAACTGGAGTACTGGAGATCAGATTCTTTGTTGGTTTGCGTTGCAGTATAATAGAAATTAGTTGGATTCATTGCAGCCACATAGACACTTTGTTCATTGCATAGGATTATTGCTTTCAATTAACACATAGCAAAGCTGTGCAGCTTTATTTTTTCTTTCTACTGAACTACAGCAGCTTTTCCATCTCTTTCACATCCCATTCCTGATAAAAAAAACTATGGAAAAAACTTTTAACATATGTCATTACCCGGGATTCATCACCTTGTTTAAGCTCAGAAATGGATACATATGAATAGTTGTCTATTTGTGGTATCTATACATTTTATCATTACTCCAGTTATTATAATTTAATGTCACATTGTATTTCTTTTCATGTACAGGCTATGCTTATATTTTCTTTTCCGTGCCCCATCTTTCTGTTCACTCCATCCCACTGCTCCAAAAGAAAATACAGCAGTGATTAATCATCTCCTGATTTGCTAGAGAGAGCAAAACAGTGATAAACCCATGCTTTCAGCAGAAGCCATGATTGAGGCAGTAATTCTGTGCCAGTTATATTGCCTGAGATTCACAAAAAAAGAAGTTATTCAAAGCTGAAGCAGTGTATTCCTCAGTGTGGCTTGGGTACCAAGGTCATCTGCAGCCTTTGCTCTTTGCATTGTCATTTGGAGCCACCTACAGGCAGAGAATATAATTCTAGCAAAAAGGAAGAGAGGATTTTTGTCGCAGAGAATGTGGGAGGCTGCTGTGATTGTGAACAGGTGCAAACATAGGCATTTTATTCATTATTGTATGATTCTACATAAATGTTTTTTAATTTGGTTTTCTATCTATCTATCTAGGCATGGATCCAATATCTGTATCACTAGAAGAAAATATTGGAAAAGAGGCTGTGATCTGTGAGAGTAAAGTCTGTTCACACAGGTGAGTGAGAGCAGAGAGGAAACCAAGCCAAAAATCGTTGCAGTAAAACTAAGAACATTATCAGATAGACACTAAGGGGCAAAGTCCTTTAATAAAAGTGAGGGAAGATAGAAAGTAATAAATGTTCAGTGAGTTAGGGGGCCAGGAGAGGACAGTTTGAGATAAATAATTCGGCATGAACGCATGTCTGGTAGAAAACAGTAAGTAATAACATTAATGAAGAGGGAGTTAAATGAGAAGGTTACAAGAGACTGATGACATGGCACTAACTTGAGTAAGAGAGATCTTTGTTTTACATTTTCCAAGGATGAGAAAAGGGAAGGATGTCACCTCTTGCTTCCAAATGTCAAACAGGAACCTCAGCAGGACTCTAGAAATTCAGCTCATTCATTTGACAGTAATGATGCTGGCAACTTTGCCCATTTCTCACTGAACTGATTCAAATTTGGTAGAACCCACTGAAGTTAGAAACAGCTTTCCTTATATGTACAAGCCTTTTTAGTTTTGTTTTGACCATCCATGTTGATCAGTGTCCCTTTAACAAGCCTAGGAGGATTGCAGGTGAGTATGTGAAATATGATCAACTCTAAATCAAAAGACTTAGCACCTCAGTGAAATATAACATTATGAATAAATTAATTTCCTATCAATGAATTAAGCGTTTATCCATTATATTTGCTAAGTACATCCCAGTCCCAAAAGTTTTTCTGAATGACTGGCAATGTTCCAGATGCCTTCCTAAATTATATTTGCATTTATTGCTACATTTGTTTTCCCCATGTCTTTTGGTAACCCCAAACTGAAAGAGTAATTTACAGATTCCTTTAGTCTTTTGACCAATGTATGCAGGTTATTTGTAACCCTGGATTGGCTTTTATGAGGGTAACATAAACAAGCCATCAGAAGTCCTGGCCATTTTCCCAATGGAGCCATGGAGGAAATGATCTTCTCCTTCTTTTCCACTAGTTATTCAGATGGTGATAAAGAGGATTGTTGTCTCAGAAGAATACTTTCCTCAGTTGGTGGAATTCACCCAAGAGTCATTTGTTTTAACCATCTGTCCCACTTCCCTTAGTGTTGACTCATCCCTCGCCTCCCCGTGGTTAGCCCATCTATTACAGGTGCTGCCGTAAAATAGCCTAGGTTGTCTTTTTCTCTGTGTCTATATGTTTTGTTGTCATGCCGTATATTACAGTATGTCTTTCATGTCAGTGACTGTGCTATTTTAATGCATGAAGCGGGAAATTTTTGTGGGAGACAGCTTAGAGTTCTGAGGAGGAAGAAAAGGATGAAGTGGTAAGGAATGGGGAGATACAAGACAAAGACTGTGATAGGCAAATAAATAAGGCAGTAAATAAAGCTAAAGGAGTGGACAAAATTCATGAGGCTCCCCACATTCTCAGAGATCCAACACTGATGCCATGTTCCCATGTTTCACAGGGGAGCCTCCAGGGCCTAGAATTGAGAAATAGGAGCAAAACAGGGCTTTGCACACATTGGAGTGACGGGGCTTTTTAGTACATCTAACAGAGGGCAGATGAAAGTACTCATAGAAGCTAGTGTTAAGTTTATGGGTGCTGCAGAAAACTCCAAGTACTCAGGGTTAGTTCTTTGCTGAAATAGGCAGGAACACAGACATGGTATCAAAAAAGTCACGGTAAGGATATTTATGATAGAAGAAGACAAAGGTATAGTTAAAAACAAGGTGAACTGAACCTGTTATGGGTGAATAGAAGTATTCTATCCCTTGGGATCAGTATTCAGACTTCATCTGTCCTTGTTTCTTGTTCTATAAATTACCAAGCCAGAGGGACCAGCTGTAAGGCACTGAAGCTGAATGACATAATAATGCAATGAGTGGGGAGCTCAAGGCAGACAGCAAGTAAAATCTGAGGACGAGGCCCCGCTTTACAAGCTGTCTGACATGCTGCAAATGAAATGTAATACTGACAGATGTAAAGTAATACTTGACAAAAATAAAAACAAACAGAAAATGAATGGACTTGAATTACAACAGAACTTTGAAAAGGACCTTGAAGAGACAATGGTCCTTGCTCAGAAAATGGTCTGGCAATAAGGGAAAGCAATTTGAAAACCTTGGAGTCTTGAAATACAAAAACCACATGGTGACATTTGATGAACTATTCAGAATGCTGTGCGTCTCTAACTTAGCTACTGTGACTCAAAAGAGAAAGCAAATAAAAAAGAGGGCCAAATTTTCATCCTGATTTATGCAGTATTACGTTCCAGCAGGCAGCTAAGCAGTTGGCTCAGCAGAAAATTGAAATACCTCTAGCACTTCTGTTTGGGTGGGAAAAACTATTTGGGGAATTTGTTTCACCTGTACTGTGATCATGAAAGATTCATGTCTTCTCATTAGCTGCCTTCTCCCTAACACTGTGAGCAGTGAGGACACAAGAACTGCTCACTTCAGGTTATGAATATCATGTGGAGATTCACCTTTTGTCCCCAGTTCTAGCCACAGTGCCATTTTTTCATTTCAGCTTTAGGACATCATTGACTAAAAGCATCAGGTGGGCATCTATCCAGTCTCAGACTGGGGAGACAGATGCTCAGCTGCATCTCAGTAAAAATTCAGATCAGCAGCTGAAGGCATATCTGATCCCTGCAGGATTATAAAATCTCTTGATATCACTTTTCCTGGCTTTCTACCTGTCCAACTTGATTGAACACACGGTACATTTCATAAAGCCAAGTCAATTCCTCTCTCAATCTTAGGGCTTAACATCTTTTACCATGTGGAACTGTTTTCTTGTTTCACAAAGAAGAGAGTCACCATTCAGCTTTTTTTGTCTGGGTAGGAAAGCAAGGTGAGCACAGGACCACTGCTACTTCACTTTCCTTATTACAAGAATCTTGCCTAGATGGTCATGAGAATCTACATTCCTCTCACCTATTCATGGCACTTAACAGTTAGACATCAGTCAAAATGTAGTTAAAAAAACACACCTGGAGTAAGAGTCGTCCCATCCTGAGATCTGATATAGATGCAAAGATGTTATCTCTTTCTATTTTCTGTGAGGGAAACCCAGACAATTAGCTAAAACTAGATGCCCTGTTTTTAGACAATTGAAATTAAGATGACTCTGGGCCGAGGATGCTAATTGCAAATAGGTCTGATCTGTGTACTTTCTGAAATGAGAGCAGTGATCTAAAAACCCTTTTAGTAGAGCTTAGATCCAGGTAAAGAAGGCAAATCTTGCGTAACTCACTAGACAGATTACTAGTAATAGGAACCATCTTTAGGTTGAGAAAAACCGCTACATGGGTTCTACTAGTGGAGTATAAAGCACATACCAGTGAGTAACTTTTCCATAACACTTCACTTTAGTATGGACTACCAGTTACTGTACCTCAGAGTCATTGTCTTGTGAACCACAATTACGTAATAGTTTATTCTGCAAGAATTGTTGGTCTGATATACCAAATTAGATCTCATGAATATTAAGACTAACAGAGTAGAGCTGAGGAAATTGGGAAATAAAATTATACAGAATAAACATCTTCGTTATTTGTCTTCAGTTTTCCAAGTTAATGTTTTGGTGATCTCATGATAGGGTGAAAACATATGACTGTGGAGAAAGAACTGCTGCCTGGTTCTCTACATTTCTTGGTCGTCCGTGTCGCTTGATAAGACAAAGTCCAGACGGGAAAAATGATGCGCAACACAAAAATACAAGAGGTTTGTTGTCAATCTTAAAAAAAAAAAAAAAAAGTGGTAGCTCACGTAGTAAATATGGAGTCATTGACTTAACACTGAGTATAAAATTTCCTTGATAAAAGGGGCAAGAGTCATGAGATATTGATCTAGTAGGCTTCTACGGGTACATTTATACCTGTACTCTGCTTTTGCTGCCCATCTCTTGCTTTCATCTGGTGAAAATGCACAAATACCTCTGTCTTTCTTTTTTGTCATCACTACAATGATTTTTTCTGGAAATCCAATGATCATTTTGAGAAATGGTGATGAAAAATCTATAAAAAGAATGTATTTTTATACTTTTTTTTTTTTTTTTTTTTTTTTTAATAAAAGCAATCAAATTGAAAGAGCACTGAAAACCCATAGATGTTGCTGTTGTAAATGATTTTAAAACTGGTAAAATCTCGGCTGTATGTCAGTTTTTAAATGCATTGTATCGTTACAATTTGCAGTTTTGAGAGGATTCCTGGAATCTTTCTTTAGTGTCTGGAGCCCAGTGAGAAATGTTTTAATGAGAAAGAATAAGAGGTCAAAGGAAAAATGAAACTACTATTATAGTCTTCCTGATTATCCATCACTGTATAATATAGGATTGATTTTTGGTAGGTCTGACATGTGCTACAAGCATCTCGCTCTCTCTTGTGAATGAAGCTCAATACCTCCTGATAAATGCAGCCAGCATTCTGCAGCTGAAAGAACATGTTGCTCCAAGGTAAGATTCTTTTGTCTTCAAATATCTTTCAGCTGTCCTGGATTCCAGAATCTTGCCAGAAGATACCATTATAATTGTTTTATCTCAAAATTTAGAGGCATGTACTTTTCAATGTTCAACAAATACATAGGTACTAAACTGCTATAGTTACTCCTGAAATGCTTCTGAAAACTTGAGTTAAATACTCAGATATAAACTGCCTACCAGTCATCTTCAGGAGAACTTTTAACAAACCTCTTGACAGTTGGTCTGATGCTAGGGGACCATTAGGAATCAGTCAACTTCTGTTTGTGGAAAGAATGTGGATAAGTTAGTTTTCCTTGACATAAGTAACCTGTTAGATGAAAATACAAAGTCTTGTTACTTACTGAAATACTTCTTCCTATAGGAAAGTTTCAGATTTAGAGAAACATTCACAATAGAAATATTTTAGAACTATTTGCTGGACTGTGCTTACTTTGTTTATTTACTGAATTTTGTATTACTGTACAGAAGTGAGAGATAATATTACTGTACAGAAATGAGAGATAAAGGCAGCAAACAAAACACTTCAGCTAGACTGGGATTTAAAGTTAAGACACCCAATGCTAATTATATTTTCATAAACTGAAACTATTTCTTGAGTGTAACAAAGGACAGGCTGGAATTCCATCATTGTTGTTTCTTCCATTCTTCCATACCATATATGTTTCTTCTCTGAGCTCATGTCCCCCTTTCCTTGTCTCACCAAACTATTGTGTCTGCTTGGAGACATCTTCTTTCCCTGTAGTCACCCACCTACATGTCTCTCTGCACTGAAATTCTTGTTTATAGAATCATAGAATGGCCTGGGTTGAAAAGGACCTCAAAGACCATCTAGTTTCAACCCCCCTGCTATGTGCAGGGCCACTAACTACTAGACCAGGCTGCCCGGAGTCGCATCCAGCCTGGCCTTGAATGTCTCCAGGGATGGGGCATCCAAAACCTCCTTGGGCAACCTGTTCCAGTGCGTCACCATCCTCTGCATGAAATACTTCATCCTAGTATCTAACCTAAATCTCCCCCGTCTTAGTTTAAAATCATTCTCTGTTGTCCTGGTGTTATTCCTATATATATATATACATAGCTGTAGGAGGATACATATATGACTTCAGGACTTAAAACCATAGACTGCGATGAACATCAGTACAGATCAGCTTGCGTTTCCTTCTTTCTTTAGGAGACAGTTGAACAATTGAACAATCTTGACTTATCAGGACAGTTTCCCTCTGAGAAAAATGCCTGGCAGAAGTTTGAATCTGTCCATCTCTCAAATACTTTGAGTACCTTTTCTCAATGATTATTAATACCTTTTTTTGAGGCTTGACTGGCTGGGTTACACCTCCTTGGGAAAACAATGCTTGCAGGTATCCCTTACTCACACTGGACATTTCCCGTGTGGGCTCCAGTGAGGAAACTTTCCACGTATGATATTTGAGTGCACAGAGAAAGAGTAAGGCACCAGAGGGAGCAGCAAATGACAGGAGGAGGAGGACAGGGAACTTTGCAACATGTGATGTCAGACGATCCACTGTTTTTGCACCTAATATCTTGCAGCATTCTCTTCAGTACAACATAATCTCCTTTTTCTCAAAGGAAACTCCAGACATGACCAGAGCTGCCACTGGGCCTAAGAAGTATTTTGCTTCCCAATTTTCAGCACAGGTTGGAAGACCCCTCCTTATTTTTCCATACTGTGCTTTTTCAGGATGCTGAGGAAATTAATTCAGCATAATAGAATCGCAGAATGATTTGGGTTGGAAGGCACCGTAAAAATCATGTAGTTCCAACCTCTCTGCCATGTGCAGGGACACCTACCGTCAGGCTGCTCAAAGTCCTGCCCAGCTTTCCTTGAACACTTTCAGCAATGGGCCATCCACAGCTTCTCTGGGCAACTGTTCTAGTTCCTCACTACCCTTGCAGCAAAGAGTTTCTTCCTGACATCTAATCTAATGCCTAATTATTGATGTACAGCATCATCATTCCTCACTGCTACTCGATCATTGCCATACAAACTTTCCAAATACTGAACTATGCAATAAACTTTGAAGAATCTGCATATAGGGATCTTTATTAAATTGCTTTTTTTTTTTTTTTTTTTTTTTTTTTTTTAATATGAGTTAGCATCTTGCATGTAAGTTTAATGGAAACCTGCTAAGATTTATAGAACTCTTTCAAACTGCAGTTGAATTTTAATGGTTTCTCTTTGATGCATATTCTGTAGTAAGTAAAAATTAATCTTCCTTTGCACTTGGCTCTTGAAAGGTGATCTAAAACAATAACAGGAGTTTAATTATAAATTAGAATTTAAGGTGCTGGTGGAAAACTACATGTGTAAAGAGACATTCACCTCTGCTGTTGCCTTTAGAGGTTACCTCCATGAAAATCCCCATGATTTGGCCTGTGCAAATGTTCCTGATAGAAATATTTTCCTGAAGGTGCAAATAATCATTTTCAGTTTCTGTTAAATATATGGAATGCTTTCTGCATTGCAGGACCCGCTGCTGTGGTAAGTCCTAAGTACTCAAGCTAACTTTGGCAAATTACACTGATTTTCACAACAGATCCATGCTGAGATTTACAGGATGAAGATGCTTCCACCCAACTGATTCATGTTTTTAGAGAGAGGAAATAACAGGAATTTACTCAGATACATGCTGCCAAGTAGTTACAAGCAGTTCTGAGGACTGGGGATAAACATGGGAGAGTCCAAGTGTTTTGGACGTGAGACTGAGCAAGGAGAGAAAGAGTGTGAGTATTGGAGTCTTGGAGAAGCAGCATCAAGAGCTGGAAGTCAAAAATAGAAGTAGTTTTTAGCAGCTGGTTCAGAACATGATAGATGTAGCTATGAGGTTACCAGGGCCTTTGATGCACCCCTTAATACCAGCATGGAACTCGTCTGTCACAAAATGCATTGAAAGCTGTCTTTACACAGCACTCCTTTCTGCCAGTTGTTCACAGACAGTCCACAGTAAAATCGGGAAACCAAATGGTGTAACTGAACTGTTTCATGGCTGACTGCTATTTTCCCCTCTAAGTCTCAGCATCATCATAGTCTGCACTTACCTCCTGCAATCATGATAAGCTGTATCTCAGCCATGGGATTGCTCGCAGGATCTCTAGGGAAATCTGCACTTTCTATCCCCAGGCTCCTCACAGCTTAGTGGACAGTGAAGGTTTGTAGGAGCCAAGGTTGTGTGGTTTGACTGGAGATCAGTTCATCCTCATGCACATTCATCTGCTAAAGAGGATCATCTAGACTGTTTTAAAGAAAATCAAGCTTTTTCATGTAGCAGACCTATTCTGCCAGGATTGTTTAATGGGAAGAGTTCTTCCCATGCATTGAGTTTCCTTTTTTTTTCCCCTTATTTTAACTAAAACAAAAATTTCAGAATGCTTCTCTGTTTTTAAAACCTTTTTTCTCTAGAGCAGAATGCTTTTTCCATTACTTACCCAAGTTATGATCTCTGCTGGAGCATGTCAGATGCAAAAGTTCTCAGAACACAGCTGATGAAACATAGAAAGTTGTTCATGTCCACCATGGCTAATGCAAAATGAAATGCTTTTTCCCCCTAATAGTAGTCCTCAGAGAACCTCCCTCACAAATTTTAGGGCTGCCATTTTTTATGATACTGGTAGAATTCTCCTTTGAAAGGAGAATGAAGAATTCAAAGATGCAGCCAGCTTTCTGATATTTATATGCAGTCTGCTGCTCTGTCTCCCACATATATGTTCTTAGCACTGACACAAATCTGTACTCTGGCAGTTCTAATGCTTGTGAAGAGGTGGAGATATCTCCTCACAGAGATTAATTTTTGTTCTAAACATCTGTCATTTGGTGCAATCTGCTGCAGCCTACAGACAAATACTAATATGGGGAATATATTCTCTCATAAAATGCCTTTACTGGCCTTTAGCATCTGCTGGTTTTGTCCCTTTTTCAACTACAGCATGTGCAGAACATGCTTGTATTTGCTTTCTTGTTAGAAGCATTTAATCAGTCAATTGATAACTTAGTCAAAAGATCTTTTTATTTGCTACCATTATTTTTACATGTAACTAGTAAAGAAGTTTTTTCATGTGCATTGTTTTTAATTGCTGAATGTTTTCCTGCCTTCCTTACAGTACTTTACAGGGCTACAGCTCTGAAGAAACCACCCAGTTGATTACAAGTTATCGTAGAATACTTTGTGCCTCTTTTATTACCTTTGTAATAAAACTTGATCCAAGATATTCTGAAAAAACAGTTGATGAATTCTATTAGCTACTAGCTTCTTACAGCACAAAAATCTAGTGCAGAACTATTGCAGAACACATTAACTAAGCTTGCTTTTTCTCTTCCATTGTGAACTCTGTGTTATAGATTGAAAGAGCCATTGGAAATAGAGGAATTAATCCGACGTTTCCGTGCCAACATTGTCATCAGTGCACCAGAATCCTTTGAAGAAGAAGAGTGGGCTGAGATCTCAATAGGTTCTCTGCGATTCCAGGTGCAAACTTATCTCCATTGTCTGAATTCCTATTCTGTCACAAAGCATTTTGCCCCCTGGAGATTGGGCAATTCTTGCGAAGCTTTGACTTGAACATGGGCTAATCGATTTGTGTACGGGTGAAATTTATGAAGTGCTAAAAAACCGTGCTGTGACCCCTGGCAAACATGCTGCACGGTGACTGAGTGGTTTTGACTTATTTCTCTACCCTTTTTTTTTTTTTTTTTTTTTTTTTAACAAATTTCATAATTCATAACATTTCTCACCTCCATCCAGCTGAGGAAAAAAATAATCACTTTTTTAAGGTAGGGTTTACAGCAAATATTGAGCAAGCATGTAACAAGAGAATACTAGTTGCTCTCAAGTATGATAATCTAACTGCAGTCTCAGATTGCTGCACATCTGTCGTTGTAGTGATTGCCAGAAGCCTGGACATGAATAACAGTGAGTGATCACTGTCCATTGCTCTCTGGTATATGCATTTAATCTCCATTCAAGACGTGTTTCTAAATCTAGCCTTAGGTAAGGTTGTTTCTTATGTTATGTTTCATGTCATACCTCACAATGTGATGTGCTTTGTACTGTAAGGAAAATGCTAACAAGTCAGACTTTGTTGGCAAGGAAATACTTTTTAGAAAAAATGCAAGCAAAGGTCCGTGAAGAAGCTACACATGAAACCTAAGGAAAAAATGAATATATTTGTTACATGTTGTATTGAATTTACCTCATTCTTAGATATGAAATATATGTCTGTAAATGAATTGTCAAGGATGTGAAACAGCAATTCATTGTTTGCTAAGGAATGACAATGAAGGATGTGAATAAGAGAAGTGCTAAGGCCAGATCTAGAAGCTGAGATAGGAATTATTCCTAATTGTTTCTGGTCAGCATACTTTAAGAAATAGAAAGGCTATTTTACTTTAAGAAATAGAAAGTAAAGGTAGAAAATATGACTTATCTTCTCCTTTCTTTGTGTATACTTTGATCAGTAAGCTGCAGTGTGAGTTGAAGAAAATTCAGTAAAATTTTCTTTAGGTGCTTGATGCCAGAAACACAGTAGAATACAGTGTTGAACAGAGCAAAGTGGGGCAAAATATTTTCTTCTCTTGTGTTGTTTTTCTTTTAATAAAATATTAAAGTTGTTGCAAATCATGAAAAAGTAGAAACAAATGTATGATTTTAATGCCTACTCTGAAGAGTTGTACAAACAATTCTAGGTGTACCTCAAAGAAATCAAATAGCTCTTCAGAGCAGCACATAAAAATATTTGCAGTGTGAGGTTGAATTATTTACCCTATTCAAATTTTATGACAAATTTTACACAATTGAAAAACTTATGTTAAGATATTTTAAGGAACAGTTATTTTCTAACATGCAGAGCTTTGCTAAAGCTTGGGATGCAGTAGTAAGCAAAACTGTTCTTCATTTTAATGTTTTAGAAGAAGTAACTCATGGCAGACTTTGTGTCCACCCTAAAAATGCACCCTAATTACAAACAGGAATTAACTTTAGGAACAGCACTCTGTATTATATATGATGTTAGATTTGCGGATCTCAGTATCCTTTCTGACGATAGACTTGTGAAAATTCACATTTTACATTCTGTTTATCTACAAGTTCCATACATATAAGAAAGTGTATGGGATATTGTGTATTTCAACTGCACATAAACAGTGTAAAGCCTGTTAGTTTAGCTCCAAGAAAATCACAGAATCACAGAATCGCAGGCGTTGGGAGGGACCTCAAGAGATCGTGTCCAATCCCCCTGCTAAAGCAGGTTCCTTACCGCAGGTTCCCTACCACAGGTTGCACAGGCAAACGTCCGGGTGGATCTTGAATATCTCCATGGAAGGAGACACCACAACCTCTCTGGGCAACCTGTTTGATTGCTGCATCACTCCCTTACCATAAAGAATTGTTCTGCTTGTTTGTATGGAGCTTCCTATGTTCAAAAGAATAAAATAAAATGAAAAAAAAAAAAAAAACCTCTTTTTGGTAAATCCTGAGGACCTGGCTTAATTTTAAACTCAGTTCTACTTTGGGCAAGTAGTCCTGTCAGCTCACAGATTAAGTCAAGCCATCAGGAAATACAGATATGTTTCTTTCTCTGGGAAAGTTTTCCCTAAAAAGAAAGGAAAAGAAAAGAAAAAAGGAACTAAAAATTCAGTGAGACCTTTGCAAGTGGACTCTTTGAAAATGTACCTACGTGAGGTGAACAGGACTGACCCCTTACATAATTAAAGCCTAAAGAAACAAAAGAAAAGTATGTGGAAGTCATGTTTTTGCAGTATTATACTGGTTGTAAGCTTGTACTGTTCCATAGTGTACTGTTTTGATATAGCAGTGACCCTTCTTTAACTGAAATTTCAGGTTGTGGGTCCATGTACCAGATGTCAAGTAATCTGCATTGATCAACAGTCTGGGGAACGAAACAAAGAATTTCTGCAGTCTCTGTCTGCTGCCAGGGGTAAAAAGGTCAGTACATTGCTCTAGAAGAGCTGCACAGAAAGATGTAGTGCATTGCATGCATAGTGGAATACCTGCTGAGAGAATACTCACTGTTAAGTTCTTCAGCTAATCATTATCATTTGTTTTTTCAGTCAAAAGAGGATAGACTTACAACCCAGATATGATATGGCTTATTCCCCAAAAATTCTCAACCTATCTTTGATCCAGGAACTGACTATAAATGTGCATTGTTTTTCACTGTGCTTGCTTTTATTCTGCATGTACTGCTTTACAACATGTTTGTTTTGGTCTTGGAAAATACAAGACAGTGTGTTGATGTCATTCCAGAAGAGAAATGTGAAGAAAAATCACAAAGTGCTTGTGACGAAACAATTAGCTCTTGGGACTAAACATTATTCTTGCTGAGAAAAAAAGGCTTAGGTAACCCAGAGCAGACGCGAATATAATCCAAATGGAGAGTGACTGATCAGGAATGTGAGTGAGGAATAGGTCTGAAACACAGGCGCTGGTTTGGAGTTGTTGGGTTTCCTCAGGCTGCATTAATTCTTAGAAATGAGAGTGCTCAGACAATGGCTAGTTCAGCATCCCAAAAGCTTCATAAATCTCAGAAGCATTTTTTAGCTGAAAATTCTTACTATGAATTCACTGATTGCTGTTAAGCTTCTCTTGTAAAAGAGAAGGCAGTCAGTGCCAATAGCCTCGCCAATAGCAGCCAGACACCAGAGACTGTTCACAGCACAGAGACATAACGAACAGGTTGCAAATTATTCACCCAGAGGGTGCACAAACAAGTTACAAATAATGCATTTTTTGTTTAAAAACAAAACAAAATCAATTCGTCTCAATGGCTCACTATGCAAAGAAAGAGCTACATGTTCAATGGGTGTTATTGAGGAATAGCTCCGCCAGCTCCATCCTAGAGCCAGCTGCCTGGTGCAAAGTGAGGTGGGGAGGGGCGAGTGGTTCAAGCTGTCTGCTGGCACTGCTTCCTGCTGGCCTGAGATGGCTTGGGGCTGCACAGCAGGCTGGCATCCTGATTGCTGCAGCACGCATCATAGAATCATAGAATGGCTTGGGTTGGGAGGGATCTTAAAGACCATCCATTTCCAATCCCTGCCATGAGCGGGCATGCCCCCCACCAGATTAGACTGCCCAGAATCCCATCCAATCCTGCCTTGAATGCCTCCAGGGATGGGGCATCCACTGCTTTTCTGGGCAGCTGTGTCAGCACCTCACCGTTCTCCGAGAGGGCATATGTTGCATGGGAGATGAGAACCTAATCGTAGTGGGTGGCCTGAGAGTGAGACCTCTGCAAGTCATGGTGAATCAAATCTGGAACATCTGGGATACTTTCTGGGTTGGGATGCTGCCCAGCTGCCACATGGGGCAGGGAGGGCTTTCTTTCCCGCGTGGGTTTTGCTAGATTATAACTGAAAGCCTCTGTAGAAGGACAGTAATCTGTGTTTGGTGTCCTCCTCAAGTGGCAGCGACACTTCAAAGACACAGATTCTCAGGAGAGGCACAACATCTTCTGCATGTTTCCCACAGCAGAGATGAACTTCTCTTTTGTTCAGGTTAACTCTGGGAATGCAAAGATTTTCTTGTCCTAGAACCACAGGACTCATTCATACATAATTAAGGCAATGAAAGCAACCCAGCCTCTTGAGAACCTGGTGTCAAATAAAAGGAGCAGGGCATGGCAAGGCACTGCAGAGTACCATGCTGCTATTCACAGCAGAGCAGTGCTTCCCTTCTCACAGCTGTGCAAAGATATCCACACTGCAAAGAACAAGGCCATCAGCTTTTTATTTTTCCCAGCTTTCAGCCAAAGATTACTCTCAGCACTGCTGGCAGAAGGACTCTTGTGAACATGCCCTGCTCTGTACAGGGCCAAGTCTTCTGGGTATGCTTGACAGCCAAGTGAGGTAATCTGAACTGAATGTGTCTGTGAAGACATCATAGCCCATTGCTCCTCCAAGTCATCTGTGGAGTGATGGTCACCAGCTGCTTATCAGTCAGCAGTACCTGAGGACTGTGGCATCTGCAGTGTGCTAGGCAGAACTGGCAGAGGACGTTCATCTAAACCTTGCACAGTAAATACTGGGGAGGGAGAAACATTGAGTTCCTGTGGCTTTGCTAAATTGCAGAGCTAATCCTTTGGTGACTTATGTCTGAAGCAAATGCTTTTCTGTTGAGGATTCATGTACCTGACGTCACTTTAGACTTTTTTTTAATTAAACACAGATTCAGTGAAGGAATTTAGCAGTGTTTGTTCTCAGCTGTCAGTAACACAAATCCAACTGCAACAAACAAATGCAGCGAGTACAATTTAGGCTAATTTCCTACTACTGGTGTAACTGATATTTTTGAAAGGCCATTATAGTTACTTAGTTTCCAGAATGTTAAGGACTCTGCCAATGTACTTCAAGAATGACATAAATAAAGGCTTGTCAGAGCTGGGTTAATATTTTTTTCTGAAATGATATTTTTCATCACTCTTCTGAGACTTTGAGCACTTGCTGCTCCAAGCTGAAATATTCAGGCTTTGCATGGATGGATTATTGCTGAAAGTCAGAACCAGCTACTCTAATTAGCCATACAAGCAGTTTGCATGTTTCCTAATAAGCATACAGCACAGCAATGAAGCCTAGCCAACTACTTTCTATAAAACCTTTTTTTGCATTGTTTGAAATAAAATGTAATCACCTCTGCAAAGCAAACTCAAATTCTTCTACCATCAGTTCTGAGGAAGCGTTCATTAAGAATTCCTTCTGTAATTTTGGACTGAGAAGGGAAAAAACGAGCTTTCCTTCTGTGGCAGAGCTCTCTGTTACGGCAGGAGGCTCCAAAAGGCTAGATAACTGCATTAAGCAAACATTGTAAAAATAGCCACATGCTGTTTCACATGCATCACCACCTGATGCAAAAGGAACACAGGCAGAAAGGAGAGAACAATGAATTCTTGCCCATGCTCTGTGTTTTCCTGATGCACTTTAATGCTAACAATAGTGAAAGCCTTGTGGGTAGATTTGCAGCTGTGCTGTGAACTGGGACTTGCTGTCAAGGTAGCAAAGGGAATAGCGTTAGCAGTGTGCCTCAGCATAAGTGTATGGATAGCTGTACATCAGGAGAAATCCATTATGGTTGCATATGCCTTTCTACACTAAAAGGTTTGTGTTTTTTCCCTCTGGGCTGTTGATCCCCTTTTATGTATCTCATTGTGCCCAGGAGAGCTTCCATCCCTGCAGAATTAGATACAGCACTTTTGGACTGCTTGCTGAAACCTTAGCAAGGAGAGCAAGTGAATTCTTTTATCTGATGCATCGTTTTGCTTTACACTCTGCAGTGCTTTCTGTCCAAAGATCAGGAGTGCTTGCAAACGTACGTAATTAGCAGACTTCTGAAATAATATGCTACTCTTTTCTCAGGAGTGGCTAAACTGGGAAATTCATTTATTTAAGGTAGAGTGCAAAAGCAGATCAGTTCTTAGTAGAAACTTCTGCTGTCCAGATATTTTCAGTAAAAGAAGATATTTAGTCTTTTTTTTTTTGGCTACCAAGTTAAAACTTTCCTTTCATTCCAATATGAAAAATCAGCATGTCAAAAGTGCTTCCACTCCCCTATTGTGTAAGACCTTGCTAACGAGCTTTGGTGAATCCAGAGCTAAAAGAATATCTTTACATTAAAAAAAAAAAAAAAATCAGGTTTAATCTTTGCACTTTCTACACCTTTGTGTGAGAGAGGTAGGTTGTGTTATGTGAGAGAAGTGAGCAGAAGTGAACAGGTGAATTTATCTGCTGATAGAAAGCAGCTGAGAGCTACATCCAAGGGCAAAATCCAGAGCTCATCCATCCAAAGCTAAGTGTTTGCATGCAGTATCATTTATGTGCTCATTACACCTTCTAGCAGGGCACTTTCCCCAGCAGATGCTAGTCTGAATTAACCAATTGCTTAGGAGCTGTATCTTAAAGGCATCACATCGCAGCTTGTGTCAGGTGTAGCACCTCACATTTCATCATTTCATCCTACAAAAGGATACCATACCCAGGAAATTTCTCAGTCAGTAAATATCCTAGAAGTGCATATTTTTATTGTTGCTCCAGCAAATGTATTTGAAACAACATGCAAGAATGACAGCATTTCATAACTCCTCCTTTCAGTGAGTGTGATGACTATCATGTGATTCACTGTTGGTAAGAATAAGTGTGTTTTATCTGTTTATTCCAGCACTGAAGTGTTGCAGTTTTACTGATGGGGCAGCTTTACAGGAAGTTTAAGAGCAGCAGAAAGAGCCCCTACTGCCACCTGTATGGACAGAGTGGCACAGCTCACAGTCTGACCATCTGCTCTGGGGAAGCTATGAGCAGAATAGATGCCCTTGAAGTCAGGAGAGGGTAGCAACAACACAAAGGAATTATGCAGTTCGTTGTAATGACTCTGCAAGCTATAATCTCTGTGTCTGAAAGTTTCTCTTTCCAGCACTGAAACTGGAGAATGGACAATTTTCTGCATTTTGTCTTTCTCTTGAAACACAGCCTAAATGGCAGGATGCACAATTTTTGTGGTTGTTTGTTCGTTTGGATGTTTGTTTGGGTTTGTTTGGTTTTTTGCTAAGTCAATGTTTGTAATTGGTAGAAAAGCAAGGAAATGTACTTGAAAGATACAAAATCAATTTCTGGTAATCACAGGCTAAATTCCGGTCATTCAGAAAATAAAGATAGCAGCAATGCAAGTGATATTACAGGAAAACCCTCATCTAAGTAGGCATAATAATGAAATAAGTATACCACCAGTATCAGTGTCACCTTGAAAACTCCTCAGGCATCATCCAGCCTTAGAAGTCCTAAAACTTACATGCCTAGTCAGAGTAGAAAAATACTGATGACCAGCATTAAAATAGTATTTAAGAACTGCTGTAGATAAAATTTATTGATCTGTCTTTTCTCAAATAGTCACAGAGGGTTTAAATTGCTTTAAGAAAAAAAAATCTGATTAAATGATTTGAAGCAACAGAATTAAGGCAAACTAAATTATCCATATTGAACAATCTGCCAATATGTATTTTAGTCAAAAAGATAAGTAAAAAAATCAGTGCCATAAATATATGTTGAAAATTCCCATGTGTGAAATCAATTGATTAACACCAATGTTAAAAAATCTTTCCTGTTTGAAATGTAGTGTAGAATAGACCAATACTCGTTTTACAGTATTTGTTTTATGATTACCTGATTTTTTACAGCATTTAAATTATGGCAACTGTCATCTTTACATTAAGAAATTAAATCCAGGATGTTAAAAACAAGGATGAAAAAGACTACAATTATGTCCACAGAGAAACCAAAGCTCGTTGACAAAGAGAAAAATGAGAACAGGATAATACAAGCTTCAAGCTTTTAGATGAAACTGTTACTGACTTAACATTTCACTGTTGTGGTTGTTCCAACCCAGTCACTGTGCTGTTAGGTTGGGACCTTGCTGTGCTGTGGTCATATCTCAGCATTGCATTCTGGAACACTGACCATAGGATCTACCCTACATCCACAGGTGTGAGTCTCGTTGCAGATACCAGTATCCAGAAAGCATCATTAGTAGCATAGGACTGATCAGGCTCAACTCATGCCACATATATGTGGAGTACCCACGAGATGAAGGAATAGCAGAAATAGCCAAAAAATATCTATCTGGGAGCTATCTTAGTGTTCAGGATTACAAATGCAAATAGAGCCATGCTGCAGCAATGTTTGCATAGTTCTCTGCTTTATAGCATCACTGTTACGTGAGAGAAGGCCTCAGCCTTAAATCTCAGTCATTCTTCAAAGACTAAAAGCTGTTTCATGTTACCTCATTTCTGTATCTTTAATTAAATAGTGCAAAAAGTGGAGAAAACAGACTGCCTTCATTTTACGTCTGTCAAATACGCACCCTTAGATTCAGCTAATACATTTGGTTATCTTTAATTTGTTGCAATTCCTTTTACCTCAAATATTTTTCTAAACCTCCTGTAAATGTAATTCCCTCAGTTTCAGGATCATTGATTTAAACAATGGCAATAAATGTAATCAGATAATGGAGAAGGATGATAGAGTTTTGCTTTAAAAATGTGTTTGTTCAGACGTACGAAATGGATCACGTTTCCTTTTTTATTTTATTTACACTTGTGAGTGACTGATAATGGAACACTTCAGCTGTAGCCTACCAAAGCCAAATACTTTGGTTCAAAAATTGACAAGAAAATTTATGTTGGCTTTCCAAGTTTTTCAGTTTGAAGAACAAAGACATTCTGAAGTCCACAAATCAGTTCTGAATGTAACATGATCCCCAGCATTCATTTACTTTTAACTTTATATATCAATTATTTTCTTATTGTTTCTAATTCTTCTAAAATGTTATCCTGAGGTTGAAAGACTATTTCTTGCTGCTATTTTATATCTATATTCTTCGCAGGTAGGGAACAAGACCACAGAAACAGGGTACCATGTGTCTTACTGTGACATTTCTATGTCAGAGCCAGCTGTTCACAGCTTTAACTGTAACATGTAATGTGCTTAAAATTAAAACCATACATAACAGTGCAGAAGCACAGATCAGGTTTTCAGTGCCTGCAAAGGCTTATGGTCAGTAAGGGAAGTAGTTGTCCTGCTTTTTCTTCCTTATTATTCAGCAATATGAGGACACTTGCCTAAGTTTTTCTAATGTTCGTGTAAGATGGCATCACAGCTAATGACAGATAACAAGTGGCAGTCCTGATAAAACAAACTTTTGGAATATTTTCTGTAAAATATACTAAAATATTGATGAAAACAAATGAAGGGAAATTCATCAAGGTTAGACAAAGTTCTGTTATAAAGTGAATAATTCACTGTAGGAAATGCAAGAGTTTTCCTCACTGCTTGAACATACGTATCTTCTGGGTGCAACCTAGCCATTATTTGTGAAAATGGATTAACTACATTTGTCAGGGAGCCAGAAGAGTCATTAATTGAGCGTGAATTACATACACAGTACTATGGAACCCATGATGAAATACTATGCTATTTATCCACTTACTGAAGATACTCTTCTTGAGTAGCATGGCATTAGCTCTTGTTTACCAGTCTATTATAGTTAATTAATTAAAATAATCTTATTAATATTAAGATCACACATACGTCCTTGCTATTGAAGCAATATTATTTTTCTAAACATATCTGGTTTGTGAGATCCTCTATTGATCAGATTACTTTAGCATGAGTTGCATCTCAATTAATGTTTTGCTTTTTTCAGACAAACTTTGGCATATACCTGATGAACCAGCCCTTGCGCTCATCCCTTCCAGGTATTTTATCAGTTGGATCTGAAGTACTTCCAATATTGAAGGAGAATACAGAAATTCAACACCCGACATTCAGTGAAGAAAAATGTTCAGGATAGATTTCCTGGCGGAGAAGAGGTGCAACTTAAAAAACAAGTCACTAGGCAGTAATTTGAAAAGAAAGAAAAATTGCACATTTGCTTCTGTTTTCAGTCTTAATTTCTGCTTGCAGCAAACATTATCAGATGGCGGTACTCTTGATAATTACACCTCACCTACATGTTTTTGCTTGCGATTAGGTTACAGCAGCCATAACTTTGTTTTGCTCAATTGCTTCAGGATACAACAGGCTTGATCAAGTCTTAATAGTGGATGACTCCCAAAACAAGTCCAACAGTGTTGTCAGAAACCCACATCTCAATGAAGGAAAGTAAACACAAAAATACCCTACTACTTCCTTATGCTGCTTTGTTAAAACCACATTTGGGAGAGAGGACACAGGCTGTGTTTTGTGAACGGTGTGGGTGGGGGGATAGCAGAAGAACAGTGAGACAGCAGCAGTCCTTTCAGCTTTTCACAATGATGTATATACAGTCTGAGACCACCTGATAAAAGGTGTCTTGGAATGCCTTAATGAAGCAATTTCATCCACTTGATCTGAACATCTTTTTCTCATTCCCATTTGACACTTTTACACCTGATCCATTTTAGATGATGACTTTCCACACACTTGCTTCCTTATGTATTTGTAGATGTTGGCACCTTTTTTTTAATTACAAATTTCTCAACTCATGCGGGCATTTCTCTACAAACTTTGTTTATGATCAGCAATCTCAAATAGCCAAAATGTTGGAATATCAACTTGAGGGAACTCATGGAAGTCAAAACGCCATTCCATCCTGAATAGATCTGCCCCTTTTGCCCTGCCCCTAGAGGTGTTCAAGGCCAGATTCGATGGGGCCCTGGGCAACCTGATCTAGTATTAAATGGGGAGGTTGTTGGCCCTGCACGTGGCAGGGGGGTTGGAGATTCATGATCCTACGTTGGCCATTCTGTGATTCTGTGGTTCAGTCAAAGTATTCTTTATGCTTACTCCTGGTGCTAGTTCCTTAGAATTTGATAATAGCCTTCGTAGACGTTTTCTGAGTTCTTTACTGGGACTTCATCTGATACGTCAGTTGTGGAGAAAATAAGTAAAAAAATAAAGCCACGCATTAAATAAATAAATAAATAGATAAATAAATAATGAAAGAAAAAGAAAACATAGGAAGTCGGTGTAATGCAAGATTAAACATACTGAGGCCGGGTGTTTTATGACCCCCAGCACGTGTCCAACCAGACACATGGCAGTGTCATGCTTTCAGGAAGTCCTCCTAGAAAAGGAAATTCTCCCAGATTGGCCACTTTATTGCCAATTGGGAAGGGAAATTTGGGCTCCATTAAAAGCACTGTCTGGACTTTCATCCAGAATGATTTAGGTGTTCCTTGAGGCGGTTTTGGCTCCAACTGTGTGAAAGTGCTTCTGGCTGAGGCAATCCTTGAGTTGTACGGGTGCAGCCCTAGAGGGGAGAAGGCGTCTTTGTGATGGATTTGGTCAAACAATCGTTCTGAAAAGGGAGCGATCATCTCAGAGCACCATACAGTGAGAAAAGGGAAGTGCATTGCTCAGTGCGTGAATCAGAATTCTGAAAGTAGGCAGCCTTTTTTCTTTTATTTCTCACTTTTTTTTCAGTTCTTTTGAAGAACAGGTTTTACTCACTTCAGCTGGAACAGACTGTTATTAGTTTCCCGGCAGAGCTTTGTAATGGAAATGAGACGCTATCTGTTTCTTACAACCCGCCATAAAATACATGGAAAAGAGAAGTGTTTTATATGTATGTAAACTGAGGATCAGTTTTGAGAGTTGTGCCTTTTGCTTCAGAGCCCAAGCCATGCTCCTTGATGTCTGCTTTGAAAACCAGGGGTTTTATCTGTCTAATAGTCAATTATCTGATGTTGTAACGAGTTGGCTTTTTGGAACCTTGAAAAGCAGTTTCCTGGTATCTGAATCTCTTAACTGTTTCACACTTTGCCCTTCTGTTATGCAGAACTTTGTTTTGTTGGATAGAAATCCAGTGTGACTCTGGCAAATTTAATACCAGGAGACCTGCTGTATATTGACCTTCAGGTGATCCCTGGTGCTTTTCTCTGTCCTCTTCACCTCACCACCACCTCATTTGTTTAGAATGGCACAGAAGTTAGAAGAGGAAATGGAAAGCAAACCTCAGTGAGCTCTGTTTTACTTGTCATTGCATTTACTACAAAATAAGCCAGCTTGGTACACTGTGATATGACAAATACTGTCTGTAAATAGCCTTAATGCAAAGTATGATAACTGAGGATGAAAAGATTTGAACTTTTAAAATGTCATGCTTGGTCCTTCTGACTTATTATTTACAAGCAATTACACTTTTTCCTCTTTGTGGCCCAGTAATATTAGGTCAAGAATAACTCTGACATTTTACAGAGAAAAAAAATCTTTCCTCTGATGTCTGAACATTCTCATTAGTATATGTTGTGCATTTCCCAGAATGAACATCTTTGTGCTGTGGTGATGGGAAATGTCAAAATGCTTCTGATTGATGGAAGAGGCATAAGGAATCTTTCATCTCAGCGAAGAATAACATAATATTTCCCTTCTGTTAAGTGGAACATCACCACCAGTCTTTCCATCAATGAAGACAAATTCTTCTCAATGTGAATACTTCGTGGAAAATCTTAAAGCAGGAGGAGTCATATTTAAATGGCATGCACTGGAGGTTTTGCAGAAAAAACATCCCTCCCCTAATGTGAAAAAAAAATTCAAAGAAAGGAAAATTGTAGCGTCATACTAACCAAAGTACTGCACAAGTGAGAAGAGCATAAACACTTGAAAACACTGTGCATATTATACAGGAATATTACATGTTCTGTAAAGGAGTCACTGCTCAGTGCTGAGACTATATGGAAAAAAATACAGTTTCGTATGAATGCAGACTCTAAAACTTGTTGCTGCAAAATTAAATCTTCAGACTAATTGCAGATACATATTTACTTTCTGTGGGTGAGAAATGCACTGAATACAGTATTTCTAGAGTGCTATATGTAGAAAGTCCTCTACATATTTGAAGCTTGTATTTCCTTGCAACAAATTATTCAGACACATTCCATGTTCTGTGGGACTTAACTCCTCCGATCTCAAGGCAAGAATGGTGATTATTACAAGTTCTCATAATAGCCAGGAGGCTGGAATCATAGGACAGAAATCAGCATTCTTAGGAGAAGCTTCTGAATTGTGTTCAGTGATATGAATGTGATAATTCAGGCATATTATGATTTATACATTTTCAATAGCATCCTTCAAAATACGGCCAAAAATTTTGGTCAGCCTTCTGTCAAAATTGTGTACAAATCAAAAGTGAAGATTATTGATTATCATTCATAAATTATGGAGATTATGCTCTGCATTTCTTCTTCAGACTGTCTCCCAACTTTCTTGGAAATTAGACCAATAAAATACTGCTAGTGCTTGGCATGTGACCGTTGGTGCTTGCATTCTTTCCCTTTGAGCTCATGAGATGCTCAACTCTGTGTGGAGGCATTGCTGGGCTCACTGGGTGAATGTGACTGTAGCCCAGTATGTGGGTGGCTCTCGTGGAGCTGAAAGATGTGTGTCCCTGTCTCCGTGATTATACAGCCAATGAGGAGCCACCTCAACAAACATGGACTCAGGAGAAGGGAGAAGAAAGCCAGGCATTCCTCCTGGGCATGTGAGCTAGTGGGCTCCACAGGCAGATGTCCTTCCTCATGCCAACACCCCAGTGTGCAACACGGGACTTCCTAAGAAGAGATGGGAACACCCCAGAGCAAGTCGTCGGAAGAGAGTAGCCTCTTAAGCAAGGTGCCACTTAAGATTCCTCTGTTCCTTTCACATCAGCTCAGTGTGATGGGAGCTGTGGGTCACTCTCATTGCAGAAGGGCAGGTGTCCTGCAATGGGAGTGAGTCACTCAAAGCAAACACAGACACTTGCCACCAAGAATTGCTCAAGAGTTTCTCTGATGACCGGAAATTATGACACAACATGAGAACTTGGGGGATTTTGTTTAGAAAACACATAAGAGGTGGCTGGTATGCTGCTCTGATTTTGTCACTGGTGTGTCTTTTCTGAGTTACTGTTTGCTAGCTAATTAATAGACAGATACATGAATTGGTGAAGGTTGATAGTATAATCTTAATAGAGCTGCTTCATGGCAAATCTGAAATGACACTGATCTCAAAAGTAGAGCCACTTACTTTGCTTGGCACACACACAGCCTACAATTAGGTGCATTTCTATGTTAATCCCAGTTTCTGCTGTGAGCCTATCTATTCCAGGCATGCAACCAAAACTGTTCAGCATGGACCTGGACATCAACATCAACTCATACTAGATAACCTATATATTCCATATTTGAGCTGCCTCATGCTATCTGCTGCTTTTCAGAGGTAAGTGCCCCGTCTAGATTAAAGTACTCTGGCTGGGATTTGCAATGCAGGGGTGGCTCTTTAGTCCAGAAGTGAAATCAGCCTTCAGTTTCTGAAAGGGCTGTGTTTCTCATAAGACTGTGTTTGAAAAGCCAGCCATGACCTAATGTTGTTTTCTGCTGCTTATTAGGGAGAGCTTAAATAAAGCTGCTGAAAATGCACAAGTTACTATTTCCCAAACCAAACGTAGAAGACTGAAGATGCTGCACTGCTGGACTCCACTCACTTCCATAAATGAAGAAATCTCTGAGGTATTCATCATTAACTGCCTGTGGGCTGTATATCAGATGTTGTAATTTCACTGGTTTATCCAAATGCTGTGGACTAATCCTCAGATCCTTTGTATTTGGTGCCACATTCATAACATTTATTTTAGCAAATCCTTTGATACTGAAATGGAATTGAATTTGCCTGGCACCACATGTTTGTCTTTATTCTGTTTGCAGGAACAAGAACACACAATTTTTGTGTTCGACTTGATAAAGCTCAGTGTAATGATTTAAAACAGTTGAAAAGAAAAAGCTCTCATCGGAGTTGGTTTATCTATCAGTCAGTACCTGTAAAAACCTGTAGTGTTCCTCAGTAATTACTATGCCTAGCAAATCAGAAAAAAGAACTAAGCTGCAAGAATGAGGCGTGGCTTGGTAACACTCATGTACATCACTCATGTACATATTTTCAAGCAGAAGAAACTGAACTTTCTAAAACACTTTAATTTTAGTCCTGGAAAGTCACCTCAGAAAAGAGCAGACACTTTTTCTGAGGGATCACGGGATCACCCCCACCTTTTGCATCAGACCCACACTAGGGCAAGAAAATGGCCGCTTTCTGTGCAGGCAGAAGCAGACCTCAAACATGCAAAAATGCAGAATTAGAGGGGCTGTGTACAGTCAGTCATTATGTTATCTGTGGAGAGGAATGTTACTGGAAAGCAATTCCCTTAGCACACGCATCTCTCAGAAAATGTCCATATTAGGAAATCTTCCTTTGTGCGTGCAGTTACCTTCCAAGGTCTCTGACAAGGAGCTTTATGCCACGAGAAACAGGTAGAGATAAAACAAGAAAGTGATATCAGACAGCAGGTGTTGGAAGGCAGTGAAATAACAGAATGCTTTTTTGCTGTCTACAGCATTCTCTACAGGCAAGAAGATCAAAACTGAGTCTAGAAGGAATATGAAGTTTTGTTTGAAGGATACTCTAGCTTCAGGGCTCGATCTGTGTGCTCAGGGCTGGCTTTCCAACAACTTCTCTGGGCAACCTCTTCCTTTACTTTTCCTCCCTCCTGGTAAAGATATTTTTTCTAGATTTTTTCAGAAATTTGATTTCTGACCATTACCCCTTACCCTTTTGCTGTATTCCTTTCGGGAGACTCTAGTTTGGTCTTCTTTCTATCCCACACCTTGAGGCAATTGTGTCCTCAAACCACCCAGTCAAAAGAATGATCAGTGATTTCAAATACCTTTTGCTGAATGCAGGAATGTTGACACCAGTCAACCCAACAAATCACCTCCCGAGTAATAGCACTGACTGTTTTCCCCTTGTTCTAGTGCTGAATGAGTGAGAAGGGCTGAACAGCTCATGCAGGTGCTATTTCCCAGCAAGTGGCATCGAAATGTTATAGTGTTACATGAATGGATGTAGAGACCTGGCTGCAACACATCCACTTCTGCTCCTCAAACACTGGCTCTGAAGTTAATTTTAAAGGAAATGTCGTATTGACACTGAGTTCAGAGTATGAACCTGTTACCACTGACTTGCTGGTTGATTCCATTTTTTACTCAAACAAGGCAAAGGGTTTTTGCTCTTGTTTTGTTTGATTGTTTTGTAATGCATTCTTCACAAAACTAGAATCTGGTTGAAGTCTTGGGCCTAATGAAGTCAGGAGAAGAATTAAACTCCAGTTTCCTCTAGAAGTCTGGAAGTAATCATGTTTGTTTCCCTTAGTATAGTCTAAATGGATCTTCTCAATATTCAGAAAGCTGAATGTGATTGAAGCATCTCCATTTCAGTATGCCCAGTTTTGGTTATGTAACAAATGTGATTTTCCAGAAGTATGAGCTGAGCACTTAATAAAATCTGAGTTGATTAAACAGTACGACAACCAAATCCCCATGCAACCCAAGTACTTCTGAGAGTTTAGGCAAATTAGGTACCAATTCCTAGTTTACTAAATTAACTGCATCCAAAAGGAGTTCATCAGCTTTTTCACTGCCATTCAAGGAAATTGACAGCTACTGACAACTGTATTCTTCTATTTCTCTCTTTAGCACATACAATGAAAAAGGTATGAATCAGTAAGAACAGGTCAATGAGATTGTCAGGCAATTATGAGAATGAATTAACATCTGAACGGTTGAGCAATCTCATTTTATTCTTCTCTGCACAGTGCATATTTGCTTGTCATAGTGCAACCCATGTATGAAAACCGTAATCTCATGGGAGCAGAGAATCCTCCCTCAGTAGCCTTCTGAAATCCCCATGCTCGTGTAATGAATAACCTACATAGATTTCAAGGTGATGAAGAATTAGAATCAGTAGGATGGAGTTTTTTTTGAGAAGAGGTTGTAGAGCCAAAAACCTTTGTCTGCTGAGGCTGCAAAGCCAAAAAATAATTTCCACAGGTTTTTATTTTTGTTTTTTTGTTTAAGTCGAGTGTTTTGCAACTTTTAAGGAATGTAAATAAGCCATTTAGCATTTCTAGCTTTTACAGGCTCTTCTTCCTCAGATGCATATTCCTAGCTGAACTTGTGAGGACCTTCACAAGCTAGGTCCTCTGGCAGATAACTTGGAAGATTCCCAATAATTCAATATTTATGGTGAAACACGATTGATCTTCAGAATGAATGTGAGCTGAATACATTAGAAGAAAAATAACAAAATGGAGAGAGGGGAGTCCTTGAGAAGTTATCGAGTCAGCCCTGAGCCCTAGATCAACAATTGTGTTCACATAACTCCTGACAGGTACTCATCCAACCAGATGATGGGACCAAAAAGTATTATTCTGGCTTTTAAGCTGTAGATGCATCTGGCTTATTATTCAGCTCTTATGTCAGGATGTATCATGAGGGGAGCCAAGCCAGAAGCTGTGGTGACCATATCACAGGCCATGTTCTTGCTGATAGGCCATCAGCCCCAATGGTCTGAGCCAACTGAGCAGAGCTGGGGGCAGGTCATAGCTGCCAGTGTGACAAGATGGGAGATGAGATGAGCTAGATCCATGGTCCAGAGCTCTAATCCAGCAGATCAGGTGATGGGACAAGAGGTGCCTGAGCCAGCTCTACACGCTCAAGGTGGGATGGTGGCAGTGGCCTCTTAATGTGTCTGAACCTAGGGAGAGTTGTTCTTCAAGACATACACCCCTGTGTGTGATAGCCACCATCATTTTACACCTGGGCTAGAGAGCAGCAGAACTTCGATTTAAGGGCCAAAATGGTCACTCTGCTTCTGCACAAGAATGGTCACTGAGGCCACACTTAGTCTAACTTCAGAGCTATTCTCTGTTTTTGTATCTGCCAAATAGCTGATGCAAGCCAAGGACTCATGATTGCTATTTTTTTTTTTTTTTTTTTTTTTTTTTGGCTCTTTTCTTAAATAGCTGAAAATGGGAACTTCTGTCTTTTCTGTCTTCCACATGTCGACATGGTCATGCTCACAGGCTGCTGAAGATTGCCTGAACAACATGGTGCCCAGAGGCTTAGACACGTGTAAGCTAGCATGCAAAGGGCAGCTCTCAATGAAGAGGTTTTGCTAGTCTGATCAACTGGATCTTATAATCACCACCACATCGTCAGAGATCTGAGAGATTTCCATTGCCATCCTCCCTGTACTTGTTACTTCTCATTCTTGTATTGCTCATCCTTTAACAGCAGAGCTTCAGCTGTTCTTAAAATTTCCAAGGTGGCATATAAAAAGGAAAACTCTTGTCAAACATATGTTTACAACCACTGATTGATGCTCTTGCAGAAGATAATGTCACCTGAAGAGGATCAATTAGAAGCATTACACTTTCTTTCATCATAAATCTCAGTGAAGCAGGAAATAGTATGAAACTTGAAGGAAAGATAAACAAGTCTCATAGGAGGAGTGCAGTATGATGAAACAATAGGGTACAGAAGGGTAGGTGACATTTCAGGCCAGCACTGAGCTGGAGACGACTCATCTAATTGTTGCCAACTTCCCAGCCCAAAGGAGGGGTAATTGAGAAGCTAAACATAGGTCCTGAGGAACACCATCACAATGTTAAAAATTGGCTTTAGAGTGTTAGTGACACTGATCCCTAAAAATGAACTCAGAAGAATCCCTGAACTGATGATCTCACAGATAGCAGCTCATATTGTCACGTTCACCTCTTATTGACTGCATCTTTTTGTCCTCCTTAGAAACGTGACCCCTCTGAAATCAGTGTGCCCATCAAAAAGCAAAAGCATAATGAACAATTTTTGATTCCTATAAATGGCAAAACTGTTTTTGATTTCAAAAGAAGTAGGACAGTGCTATTTACTTAATTGGACTAAGTCCTACCCGCTGAAATTCATGTGAAATTCTGTTTAGTGGTTTAGCCTGCTGGGTCTGAAGCTGGAAAGAGATACTACTTTCCATCTAGTGAAACAAGAGCGGTACTCATTCTTCTCATAATCTCTTTGAAGCATCTGTGCTTGAGGCAGAGGCTAAGGTCTCAAACTGAGGCGTTTTAACACACACTGTCAATGATGTTGTGCCTAGCACTGTGTTGAGCCAAATAATTGCATCACTATGCCATGTTTCTGCTTACCTAATCCTTTCTGATGCAAGAGAAAGTACCTGGGAATTGCTTGGCATGTTTGATAAGGGTAAGTGGCACAGCAGCCTTGACTGCATTGCACACAGCCAGGGCAGCTTTCTTTTACCTGAAGGTCAGTAGCCCCAGCTTCCTGTGGCCTTGCTACCTGGGTGCATTCATGCCTGCTCACCATGATCACTTTTCTTCCACTCTGTCCTGTAGACACTGCTACTACAGCTGCTGTGTCACTTTCATCACAAATGAGAGCTTCCAATTCATAAAATCATAAAATCATAGAATCATTACAGTTGGAAGAGATCAAGTCCGACCATCAACCCATCACCACCACACCCACTAAACCATGCTCCTCAGTGCCACAACTCCACATTTCTTGAACACCTCCAGGGACAGCAACTCAACTGCTTCCCTGTTTCCAATGCTTGAACACTCTTTTGGAGAAGAATTTTTTCCTAATATCCAAATTGAACTTCTCCTGGTGCACCTTGAGACCAATACCTCTCATCTTATTACAAGTTACCAGAAGTGTATCATCTTACTCTTGCTTCATTAACTGCATTTTTCAGGCTGCTCCAGTACCCTGTAGCCTAGATCTCTTTCCTGCTCCTATGCTACAGATTGAAGTAATTACCCCATAACATGCTGTTTTATCTGTGGCTCTTCTTTGCTGGCCTCTGCCCTTCTCAATCTCATGTGGAGGTTTGTCAGTCTTCTTAGCTGACAGCTGCAGCTCAGCCTGCTTGCAGCCCTTCTGGGAAGTGAGAAGGATGCTAAGGCTGGTGAGAGAAAGTGGCAGCCCCACAGGGAGTGCGCCTGGCACCTCACAGCCCAGTTTTCCAAGCAACTTGCTTCAAAGGATAGGTTGCTCAGAGCTCATACCTTGGGATCTTGGCTAAGATGTATAAACTCCACTAGGCCTAGGATCTATCATGTTTCATACCTGGCTCTAAAAGCTGCCTATATGTTGTTTTCTTATTATTTGTTTGGTTTTTAAATCTCCTGCTTGACATAAAAAGATGTAAACAGGTGACAGGACTTAACAGTTAATTTATCCACAGGTGAATGAGGGAGGACTTTCCTGTTTTTTGGCATTCTGTAAAGGTTTTTCTTTCCACAGAGAAAGAATAGGGATTTTCTTCAAATCAGGAGAGATTTATATTTAAGCCCCTTGAAGCAATGGAATTGAGCCCCAAACTTTCATGGTTGGTATTTGGAACGGTAAGCTTACAGAAGAGATGCTGCTGGAATTTCTTCCCTAGGAAGCATCCCCAAAGTCTCCGTGGGACCACAGAACAACTCAGGATGAAGGAGATCTTTGGGCTTAGCACCTTGTCCATCCTCTGGATAACCCTTCACCAGAATGCCAGGTAGGAGTCCCACCACTGCTGTCTGTTCTTTTCACTGTACAGAGAGTGATGGGAGCAGGACATTGCAGTAGAATGTTTATAGGGGCAAGATGGAGCAGGAGTCCTTTTGCAGGGTGGGGAAAAAAGGTGGAAGCTGAACAGCACAAAGAGCAAACTGAAGCTGGATCTCGTAGTCAGCTTCTTGAAATCTCTTCAGTGGGTTGACTAATTACAATCAGTACCAAAATACATTAAACAGAATAAGTAGATACAAAAAAAAAGTGGATTTCTGAATAGTTCCTCTAGATGGCAAGCTTTATCTATTCTATTTATCTTATCTTTTCCAAAGCAAATATATTCAAGTCCTATAAGGTATCCTTATGTAGTGTTGGACCATTTGGTCATTTCTGGAATATCAGTTCCTAGAATCCTGAGCAAATTGCTGTAGAGAAAAGAAAATGTGGCTCATATATCAAGTCCATGAGAAATGTATTTATTGGCAGATTATGCTGGAAGGTACAATAATGAAAGTTTGTTGATAGAAGGTATATTTTGGAAACTTCCTTACTGCAATTCACTTTAATGCCAGTGGGATTTTACTGTGCTGGGTGTGAGGAAAGTCCCTTTTTCTGCCCCAGCTTTTCTGTGTATTAATGCTGATCATGACTGTCATTGTGGCCAGTGAGGAGTGAAAGTGTGGAATCTAAAATACGATGAGGAAATCAATAACTTTGCCCAGAGAACTGATCTGGATCTAATTCTTGTATAATTAGTGATGACTCCAGTGGACTTCCTGGTTTAAAATCACTGAGATGTCTGATATTTAGTTTGCTTCGATATTTTCATCTTAGATAAGAATGTAATAGATATCAGCTACTTTGAGTTCTGTATTGTCTTTTGAATTGCTATAAAGCAAGCGCGATGGTAGTGCTGGGACATAGAGTTGCATTACAGACTTAATGGTATCAAATGATTTACTAGGAAGCAAGACAGCAAAGCATCAACCCCGTATCTCTATCTAGAAATTAGAGTACGTTCCCAGGCCTATGCTTCATACAGCAGAAATAGAACTTTAAAAAGGCTCTTGGTAATTATGAAAACTCCTGTCTAGCAATGTATCACCACTCTAATGAGGTTTTTATATGACGGCAGTTGTCATTCTGCTTTTTCTGTGAACACATTAAATGATGTCTGCGCAGACTTATTGTGACCAGCGCTCAGACATTTGCATCTGTTCTGCACAGCCCTTGCTGAGACTCAGGCTGTGTTTCTTCATCTACATGAAACAGTTTATGAACTCCTCTAGGGAGACACCCCCTCATTCATCTCCCAGCTGTACATAGCGTTCTGTTCAGGTGTTCAGAAGTGGAAATTTTTTGTCTGTTCTCTTGGGAGATTCTTCCGTAACCTTGTTTTGGTTTAACTCAGCAGGCAGAGCAGCTGTTTGGTCACTCCCTCCAGTGCAATGGGGGAGAGAGTCGTGGGCTGAAATACAGTTTAATAGGACAGAAAGGGAAGGAAAATAACATACAAAATGAGTGATTGCTCACCACCTGCTGACTGATGCTCAGCCAGTCTCTGAGCAGTGGCAGCACCCATCCCCAGCCTGCTGTCCCAGTTTTGTTGTTCAGCACGTTGCCACGTGATGGTATGGAACATCTCTTTGGACAGTTTAGGCCAGCTGTCCTGGTGCTGTCCCCGTCCAACTCTTTGTGTCCTCCATTGCTGGCAAGGCAGTAGAAGAAGCAGTAACATCCTCAGTTCTACGCAGCACTGCTCATCAACAGTTAAAATGTGTGTTTTTGTTGTTTTTTTTTTTTTAATTTTCCTCCTGAATTCAAAACATGACCCCATACCAGCTTCTATGAAGAAAATTAACTCCATCCCAAAACCAGACTCTAACAACCTATACATGTATTGTTCAATTTAAGTTTGTGCTGTCCCTGTTGCAGCTCATTACTTATTATTACATCCCTCAGCCTCCCACTCCTTGTTCACGTCTAGTGCGCTGTCATGTCTCTGACTAGACTGCAAGAGTCTCAGACTGTGGACTTTCATTTTGTCTACAAAATCTTTAAGCATTGTAAGTACCCGCAATGCTCTTAGCTGTGCTGTTTGTTCTGCCTTACATGATTTGTAAGTACGTGAGGAAGACCTGTGGGAAAGTTGAGAAGGGACTTTTTTCATAAGGGCAAGCATTGATGGGATGAGGGGAAATGGTTTTAAACTGGAAGAGAGCAAATTTAGAGTACATATCAAGAAGAAGTTCTTTACTGTGAGGGTGGTAAGACACTGGAACAGGTTGCCTAGTGAGGCTGTGGATACTCCTTCCCTGGTGGCATTCAAGGCCAAGCTGGATGGGGCTTTGAGCAACCTGGTCTAGCAGGGGGGTTGGAACTGGATGATCCTAAAAGTCCCTTCCAACTCAAACTGTTCTGTGATTTGTCCTTTCTTTGCCTTTCCACCCTTCAAATACTCTTGTCCTAGCTATTGTCTAGCCTACCCACACTATCTCTGTTGTCTTCAAATCAGCCTCCCCAGCCTGCAGATCATTGCTTGGACGACCTGACCTCCCTCTGACTCAGGACTTGCTTTCTAGCAGAGGGATGCCTGGGACTCTGTGCACTCTTGCTGACATCTTGGTCTAGTCACCTCAAATGTTTCTTATCTCACCAATCTGATGAGATGCCTCCTCAGTCATTTCCTCCTGCTGCCACGTGGCATTGCATGATTGTTTTCCTGACAGCATCTCTTCCTGCTCTTGAACTTCCCACCTTTCTTTTCCCCAGTGACCTTTTCCTTGTGCCAGGAAACCCAGTGCCTGCCCTTAGTAATGAAGTGGTTCTTGCACAATTTGGTGAAGGAAAGAGGAGACCTTTCTTCATTTCCTTCTCTTAGCATTACAGTTATACCTCTGAGAAATTTGCTTGTCCTCAAATAAAAATGTCCTCTAAAACAGAAGGGGAAGTGGATGAATCTGAGTCCTCCAGATTTTACTGAATCATGAGGTTGAGTTTGACTGATAATGAAAAGGCAAACGTGTTATGTCAACAAAGAAATGCTTGAGAATATAATTTCAGTCACTACCTCTAAATGTGATTGAAGTCTCTCGTTTTTGACAAGAAATCTGTCTTGATCTCATCCAAAAAACTTACTTTTTTTTTTTTTCTTTTTTTTTTCTCCAGTTTTACTACTGAAGGAGGAAAAAAGAAGTCTGGCAGGCACTCTTACAGGTCGGGACAGGCCAGGCATGATCCAGTGCCCCAACGAGCCATTTCTTTCCTCCCCAGCACAACTGCACAGCACATCTTTCTGGGAGGTCTCCACAGATAATCAGCCCTCTCTGTTACCTGCTATGTACAATTCCATATTCTCTATGTGTTCATTTAATACATCTCTTTAAACTGGTGCAGAATGCTCAGGATCACTGCCCTCTTTCTCTTAGCTCTTTAATGTGACTGATGAACAATTGGCTAATGCCTTCCCTTAGTATGAGGTGAGATATACTGTAGTACCAAGTCCTTCTCATCCCTGCAACATGCTCTGACGCAAGGTGGCTTTGGTTTTATATAGTGACAGAGGGATAACCAACCTCTGAGTGTCTTGCTTAACACAGCAGGCATTTCTTTCACCCTAATTAAAAGGTGCCCATGATTGATAGGCGGGTGTATATATGCCTTCTCTTTCAAGATCACAGTGTCTCAAAGTATCCTTGTAAATGCCAGGAAATCTTTTGGTGATATGTGTGTAACTGCTGAAGGAAAAAAAATATATTATTGATGCTGTGCTGAATAAGCAATGAAGGCAACAATGGCTACTAACAACACGCCAGCTAGAGTATTTGAAAAGAGGCTATATTTCCTCATAGATTTGTCTGTGAAATAAGCTGTGGTTGCTGTGCACTGCAGCTGAGCTTTACTCAGGTTTAGGCTATCCTTTTCTTTCCTTGTTTTTGATACTGGTAATTTGGATACATACATAATCATCCCCACCGTCGCTTTGTAGGCACTTTTTATTTCCTCTCTCATTCACATTATTTGGAAGTGGATCTGTGAGTTGTGCCTGAATATCTATATTTCTTGTATTTGTATTTTCAGCATCTTCAAGTCGGAAATGGAAATGGAAATTGGAATGGAAAGACCCCAAGGAAATTATTTTTGGCCTCCTAGTTGTAAAGGAGTATGTCATGCAAACCAAACACGCTTCTGCTTCCTTTGCTGCAGGCTATTCCCCTGGGATGGGGCAGACCCATGAGGCAGGATGTCTCACACAGATATCTTAGTGCACGGAGGCTATGCGATCCCCTTGTTACATGTATAAACGCTTGCATAGGTAAATTCTGCTTGATGGGAAGCAGGTAAAATGAAATGGGGAGGCAGGTTCTTCCCCTTCTTCTTCTTTCAGTGGGCAATGCACCTGTGAGAGCGTGGGCTCTTGTTTTAATCATCTGACTTGCATTGCGCAAACTAAGCAGTAGTTAAGGCATAGCATCTGTAAAATCTGAGCCCAGGTTTTGCTTCTCCTTCATTAAATGTATGGTGGTGTGGCAAGCTGTTCTTCATAAACTGAGTCCATTTCCATTTTTTTTCATGAGCTGTATTTTAAGAACATTATTTGTGTGTATAGGTATGACACTTCTCACAAATTAGAAATGTCTCATAATGCTGATAAAATGGGGGCTTAGAATGAAGAATTTCTTCACCTACCACAATAACAAATGTGTTGGATGTCTAACCTATGCTACACTGCAGTATATATTGATAACTGTGTATCATACTTCTACATGTAATGAAGACAAGGTAACAAATCCTGTGCCTCTGGAAAAGCCATCCTTTGCAAATTCTGTCTATACATAATCTTAAACAGCATTCATACTGATAGCAAAAACTAAATGTATTTTGTATATTTTGTAATGCAAAGGGAGAGAATGGCTGCTTGGCTGGATGACATTAGCAAACAGACCATCTCTAATCTTCTCTTCAGCGCATGACCTACATCTTGTTGCTATCATTCTTCTTTTCTTTGAGTGAATAACTCTCATTTCATGAGGTTTTTCTAAGCAGAACCCATCCTTCAGTATGCCTGGTAAGTACCAAGTGCTTTTGGCTGTTTGCATTCTGATTCCTGGTTCCCAATGCAGAACCAACACAGATCTCCTAAAATACAGTATCATAAAAATCCAGCCACATTCCCCAGGACACAAAGCATTACTTATCTTAAAGCCAATAGTCAGGGCAGTACCGCAGTCACACACTTATCATATCATATACAGGATAAGGCTGGGATCATAGACTGGAGCTGATATCAGAAGGGCTGTGTGATATTCAGAGCAAAGCCAAGGCTGCCAAGTATCACTAGAGCTGTGAAAAGGAGGAGAAATCCCACCAAATGGCAAACTATCGTGGTAGCCCAGCCTGGACATGCTTTGTAAAAAGCTCTTCTGATGTAAATGGTGTTCTTCAGGCTTTGAGGAAGCTGTCTGGGAAAATGACTGTACACAGGATTTTTGTTGTTACTTGGCCTGATGGCTCACTCAGCATCTTGGTGTCCTCACTGCCTTTTGGTCAGAGTCATGTTATTATGAGTAGATAATTGTGTATTTAGCTTGTAACTCCTTGGTTAAGACTACAATTTAAAATAATGATGGAATTTAATTTATATCAGTGATGCTCCCCATATGAACTCAACACAAGGCTATAATAAACTCATTTATAAGTGACACATTTCCTTCAAACCCAGCCAAAATGAAAAATATAAAAATGAGAAGAAATGACTTTCTGCACTTAGAGTGCTCTCCGAAAAGAGGACTGAGATGGTTAAAATTGCATCTGTTGAGGCGTATGAGCAGTTGGCAAGTTTCTTCATAATTTTCACAGGCAAAATTAGACCAATTCAAGAATAACTGAGTCACAGGGCATTTTGATTGGATATTTCTTAGCAAGAATCTGAAGCAACATGTGCTTCATGAATGCTGTTGGCAAACATCTTAATGGTTTGTAATTTGATTTTTTGAGAACTAGTCAAGCTGAGGGTTAAGATGAGGTTCTTAGACATGGGAAAATTTCCAAAAGAATCTGAGTCTCCATTTACTAATTGAAGTCATGTCAGGAAGCATGTTTTAACATGACCTTTAGGAAGTTGTTTAATTTGTTGTTAATATACTAATTTTCTCTTTACCCTCCAGTATATACAGCAGTCTTACACAGACTTTTTTTTCTCTGTGCCAACACAAAGGCGGAAAAAGGAGCTGCTGACACTAACAAGGAAAGAAGGATGGTGGTCATTCTTGGAGAAGACGCCTCTCTCCTTAATAGCCTGACACAGCGAGGTGGCTGCCCACAAATTAGGAAACTGTTTCCAGAGCTCATCATCGCCCAAGTGAGGTGGTTGCCATGACAGGTCAGTCCCAGCACTTTCAGCCCTGCTGACTGGGGACTGAGTCAGGCTCTCCTGGCCCTGGTCCTCTGTGCACTGTGCCTCGTATTCATGACAGCAAGCTTCACCTGCTCTTGGTAAGATGACATAAAACATACTCTAGTTTCTCATTTTAGGACAATGTAAGACATGCCCTGGTTTCTCTTAGGTGGCCTTTGCCTGAATTGTTCAGTTCAGCATTGCTTGCCTTAGTCCTGAGCACATCCCTCTGATCCTTGCTCCCTGACAGATCTCTCCCACACCTCTTTCCCGGTGACCAAGCTGAAGTCATAGAATCACAGAATTGTTTGAGCTGGAAGGGACCATTAAAAGTCATCTGGTCCAAATTGCCTGCAATGAACAAGGACACCTACAGCAGATCAGAGTGATCAGAGCTTCATCCAGCCCTTGATCTTGAATGTCTCCAGGAAGGGGGCACATACCCATGGCTTTCTAGGAAGCAAGGGCACATTGCTGGCTCGTGTCCAGCTTGCTGTCAAGTCACAGGAAGGTTTCCTTCCATTGGAAGCATTAACCTGCCTGCTGGGTAGCACAGGGAGAAGCTGCACAGATACTAGGAATGTCCAATAAAATCAGAATGCTCACAGACTGATTACTGTAATGGGGTCAAGTGCAAAGCCTGCTTCACCAAAGTTGCCCCATGAAAATGCCCCAAACCTTAGGTAGAAATTTCTGTACCGAGAAGATTTTTTTAACTGGTTTTAGACTAGGTATGAGGAAAAAGTTCTTTTACAATAAGGGTAATGAGGCACTGGCACAGGTTGCCCAGAGAGGTGCTGGATGCCCATCCCTGGTGATGCTCAAGGTCAGGCTGGACATTATTCTGAGCACCCTGATCTGCTGTAGGTGGCCTTGTTTGTTGCAGGGAAGTTGCACTAGATGATCTTTAAAGGTCCCTTCCAACTCAAACTTCTAAGATTCTATGGTTGTATAAGAGATAACTGTGCATACTGATATTTGCATATCCTAAAGAAATGCATCATAGCATTAAACTTTGTAGGGTGACAACAGTACTGGGATTAAAAAAGTAATCTACCATATTAAAAATGGTGCAACCCACATAAATTAAAAAGAGTAAATGTTTCCAGTGTTGGCAAAGCGGGTGATTTCCATGTTCTCCAAGACTTGTGCACATTCATGTCAGTGACATAATGACAGTGACATAATGACACTCAGGCTTGGGAGAGAAACCTTTGTTACAATTGGATGAGTTGTCCCACTTTTGACCCTGGGAGAAGCCCAGATACTGCAGGTGTTTGCAGGGCATCAGGTGAGGAAAGGAAAGGCAGGAGATATTTGTTCTTCCGCATGTTCAGCAGTGTCTTGGAAGGGGAAGAGCCTGGCACTACTATAAAGAAATTTATATTCTTTTGACTCTGCAAATGCACAAAGATTTATGCATGTGGAGCTACATATTACTTATTGTATGAGAACTAGCTAACAGGAGCAAAGGTGAGGTTCCTCAGGCATTTACCACAGATTCAGATGTACAGGTTAATTTTTTGCTGCCTTTTCCTGGAAGATAACAGCTCTTAACAGGCTGAAGGATTTTTAGGTAGCAGCTGCTGAAATGAATTGTAATATATAGTTTTGTTATGAAACCTGTGCTAGGCCATATCTGAAACAGTAGTGCTAGTTTGGCAACAGCTTAAGAACAGAGGTTTCTGGAAAATGGAATTCAGTCACGTAAGGCATTCTGATATCACAAAAGAGTGGGAGTTTAAGCACAGATTTAAATGAAAAGTTGACCTCATTTTTAGTTAGAGGCAAAATAGTCTCATTTGGAAAAAGAAAAATATATTTGAAACTATTTTTAATAATGATAAAGTACTGAAATTCTTAATATATAGAAAAAGATAAAATTGTAAGAAATTGGAGCCCAGTGAGATGAAAAGTATCCAGCTTCTGCACCCAGCTGCTTCCAGAACATGGAATTATTTCAATTATTCTTCTGTCTCTTCTTTCTCTCCAAACCATGGCTTGTTACTCCACAGCATATATAGGGAATATATTCTCTTCGATACAGCATGCTTGACCACCCCCGACCCCCTCCCCTCCAAAATACAGAAACACAACACTGTACTGAAGCAGCAGTGCTGAGCATTCTGACGTCTCATCTACATTAGCAATTCATCAGTGCACAGCAGTCCATCTGCAGAACATTCACACTCTCTGTCTCATGGTTTTTTTTGTTTGTGGAAAAAGAGCATATTTGTGGCTGGAGCTGGATGCAATTCACATTCTCTTAGGCCAGACTGAAGAATAGGATCTGGAAGGGTCACCAGCAAGCCTTCCTGATCTGGATTAAGATGTTAATGCAGACGTGTCCTGAATATGAAGCTGGCATGCACTTACAGAGTGCCATCAGCTTGCATCATTAGCTGCTGAATGGTATTATATGCTTAGGGACTCCTGACTACTGAGTTAAAATATCCAAGGCATCCAATTAATTATTATTATTATTATTATTGGATCTTTGTTCAAATACAGCCTATGAGCCATATTCCCTATTATTTATTTGTCTGGTGTAATTCTCTGTAGAAACTATTAATGGAACAAATGTTACCTTGAAATAAAACACTGAACAGAATATGTGGGCTCTGAAACAGAAATGCACAATACTTAATTCTAGTTCAGCCTTCTTCCTAAAGCCATTGCTGCATAGTACAGGACTCAGGCTGTGTACTCGTGGTAATTGCTGGTACTTACCTCCAGCAGTGAACATGGAAAACGATCCCCTTTTCTCAAGGCATATAATAAATGTTAAATAAGAACAGGGTCAAATTTCCTGCTGATTACTTCTTCTCATTCATTTACTGAACACGGGTGGACCAACATTCCACTTCTGTTTTCTCACTCATTTACAGATTGTGCCTTGTACTTAAGGGCATTTCAAAAAAGTTGTAATGCAAAACGTAAAGGATTGAATTAAAAAAACAAATCAATCAAACAATAACAAAACGAAACACCACACGTGCACCAAAAAAAAAATCTGCAAATGATTGATAGCCAGCATTGTCATTGTAAGAACAAGAATGTTCAATTTATCAAAGTGGGAATAATTAAACTTCTGTCAGTTCATGCATTATTTTGGTCAGAATTCAGGATTTAATAATTTTCTGACTTGAGCATTGTGTGGTTTTGTTTGTTTGGTTGTTGGTTGTTTTTTTTTGTTGTTTTTTGGTTGTTTTTTTTTTTTTTTGAGTATTATGGAATCATAGAATCATCAAGATTGGAAAAGACTTCCAAGATCATCCAGTCCAACTGTCTACCCACCACAAGTGTCTCCCTGCCATGTCCCTTAGTAAAGCATCTAAATATTTCTTGAACACCTCCAGGGATGGTGACTCAACCATTTTCCTGGGCAGGCTGTTCCAGCACCTGACCACTCTTTCGAATATATTTTTCCCTAATATCCCATCTGAACTTCCTCAAGGTGCCGCTTGAAGTCATTCCTTTTGTACTGCTAATGCTCCACCTTAAAACACAAAACCCAAACCCCTCTGCTGTTATAAGTAGTTGCCTGAGTTTTCTTCCCCTTGTAGTCTATTTTTGTTGTACTTACAAACAGACTAAAATATCTGTCTGCATCATGTTGTGGTAAAGCCTCATGCTATACTCATCCTTGGCTAGATTTCTTGCTGGTTTTGAAATGAGTGCTTACACTTCATGCTTAAATCAGCCAATGTGCTGTGCAAAAAGCAGACAAATTTTATATACCTGTCTTGAAACTAAAGTCAAATTTTTAACACCTGGTAACTCTGAAAAAACGTTATAACAATTTAGAGCAAAATCCTAGCCATTTTATTTGTCTGGCAGCAAAAATAATGAAGATAAAGGCATTTTTACTTAATCATGAAAAACCAATTGTGTTAGAATCGCAGAATCATTCAGATTGGAAAAGACCTCTGAGATCATCCACTCCAACCACCAACCCACCCTCGCTACGTCCACAAACGACGTCTCTCAGTGCCACATCCACACGGTTCTTGAGCATCTCCTGGGATGGTGACTCCACCACTTCTCTGGGCAGCCTGCGCCACTGCCTCACCGCTCTTTCAGAGAGGAAATTTGTCCTGTATTATTGCAAAGTAGCAAAATGTGTTGCTCAAGGCATCATAGATCCATAGATTCCAAAATAATGGAAAATTTCTGTTTCAAATTCTGTGCAACATTTGCAGCACTAAAAGGACATTTTTTAAGCTGATTAGCATGTTGCAAGAAAGCTTCTTGAAGACAATGCATTTCAAGTTCTTCAGAGTTACATTTGTCATTTCTTTGTGAGGCAGACACTTCAAAGGCAAGAAGATAGCCTTCTGAAGTTAATAAGCAAATTTGAATTCTTTTCCCAGAAGATTCTAAATCATGGCATCAGTGTAGATTTATAAGATCTGGGTGTTTAACAAGTAAAATACCAGTATTCACATGTAGGCATTATTACCTCTATTTCATAGGCCATGAAGTGCTGAATTTTATTTGGTAAATTGAAGCATTGCTTATATTTTTTTGTTGAGTCAAAAGAACTTTCCATCAAACCAGTATGACAGATCTAAGAAACTGAATGGGAATTATTTTGTTAGTTAAGTTAAAAAGTTGGGTTAATAAGTAGTTCACCTTTTGAAACTTAATGTCAACTGAAATATTAAAAAATTCTCTTTTAAACAGTCACATCTACTTAATAGTCTTGGACACATTCTAGAACAACCTTTTCTATTTTACAGCAGACTGAACTTTTACTTCTAAGTTACCTGAGCGAACAAAAAGCAGTTCAGCCTAGACTGTATTTTTATTTGCATCTTTGATCAAATCTCCATATTCTTGGCAAGCATAGAATAGATGCCAAAGAAATCAGCAGCAGAGCGGATGACAAGCCGGATGGCATTCCCTGCTGCAGAGAGCATCTGGAAACATAAAAGAATTCTTAAATCACAGGTCGATGGCTAGCTGCGAGGACATCAATGGAT